GATACTTGTTATCAACTAAAGGTACTTTTTATCGTTGTCGGTGGTCTTTTGGTGTTGATATTGAGTGTGTGATGTTAGTCGTTGGTTTTAAGGTTGATTGTTGATGTTGTTGTTGGTTTGTTGATGTTGTTTATTATGCTGTTGATGTTACTGTTACTTCTTGTTGTTGCTGTTTGTTGATATTAGAAGCTGGTGAGATGGTGATGAAGGTATATGTTGATGAGGATGAAGGTGATGAAGATGATGGTGAAGATGCTGAGCAAAATTGTAATTGTTACTGGCAAACACTTAGATTTTCTCTTTCTTTCTCTTTCTCACTCTCTTCTCTCACCACAACAGCACTATTAGGATGCTGTTTCATTGACTGGCTCAATCTCCTCGAGTTTAGCTGTCAAACAACATCTCAGTGAGCCTCTGAACATGTCGCTAGCTTTGGCTTGCACCGCCATCTTGAGGATATTTATATTCAACTCACTTTTTCAACACATGCGATGTAAACTTTCTAACTCAATCATTTGATTACAATTAACGAGATTTTATTAAAACAATTTTATTATTATTTTTTCTTACATTGTTTATTGGCGCTTAACAAATTTTTAACATGGCTTTAGGGCCAACAAATGTGTTACAAGTATAAACTTTGATTTAGTTTTTTTTGTGGTCAATATTTGGAAAGATTTGTTGTTTGTTTCTATACACTCAATTGTGAGATTGGGTGTTGAAAACAATGAAACAATTAAATTACAGAATATTTTTACAAATGGTTGGTTTATAAGGTAATTATACAGATATTTTCTGCTATTTTTTGCTACTTAGAGAGCTGTTTCATTAAATTTAGACTTTGCTGGGCATATCTTCCACCGAAGTGATTCCAATGGTTAAGGTAATGGAATAATTGGTAAAGTTGTTGCCTGTCATCAAATCCAGGGTATTTCTTGATTGTCCTGAAATAGGAAGTGTAAAATTGGTGACGGAACCCTCCAAACATACCTGCAATTGATAATTCAAATTCATGATGTCCATAAAATGAAGCTGGATCAAAAATTATGGGACCTTCTTCTGTTTCGCCAGCATTACCACCCCATAGATCACCGTGAAGAAGAGATGGTTTGATTGGAATTTCGCTTATTTGCTTGAAAAATTTGGGTATTTTAAGTTGAAGTGCAGACCAATATTCACCAATTTCTCTATTTCCATAATCAGATTGAACCATTCTTATTTGAACGTCTAAACGGTTACGTGCGTAAAAACCAATCCAATCATCAACCCATTCATTTACTAAAGGTATTTTACCACAACAAGTAACAGCATCGAAACCAAATTTATCTACATACTGTCTTTCAGGTTCTTTACCAACCCAATTTTCTAATTTTTTCTCAACTTTTTCTAGATTTATATTATCAATGTGAAGCTGGGCTAATTCCTCTCCACACTTATCTTGGTACTTTGACAGTCCCACCATTTTATCGATATACTCCATACAAAGAACAGCTCCTTCATCCCTATTTGTGAAATCCATTGTAAATTTCGGCTTCGGTACTCGAATTGTTTTGGTTTTTTCAATTGATTCCAATGAAAACATCTCTCCTTCGAACATGAGACCGGAATCCGGAGCCTGGTTACTTTTAACATAGACCTTTGCTCCATCGTCGATTTCGTAAACAGTCCCTGTATTGATGCAACCACCAAGGCCTGAAGTCAACTTACGAAAGATTTTCGTTTCCAATTTATCTTTAATTTCATCTTCAATCGCCATATCACAACTTGATAGTCTTTTAAGCAAATTTAAAAAAATTTCGATGTAAATTTGATTTAAAAGCGGTTGAATAACAATTGGAATCAACCTAGATGGTACAGAAACAAATTAAATTAAAATCAGGAAAAACTGTCAAGAAGGCAATTGATCTCCGTTGTAAGTTGTGCTCCAAGCTCAAAATTGTAGCAATTGTCGGTTTGAATTTTGAAGCTCAAAAAACACAGATGAGACAAAGCAAGACACAAAGAAACAGAAACCATTAAAAATTCCTTCAGAGAGTCAGAAACTTGATTGAAAACATATATAAATTATAATAATTACCTGTCGAAGTTGTTCAGTTTTCTTGTTCACAATGAAACTTATAAACAAATCAAATGTGGATAATATGAAAGAAAGGAAACAATTTTGAGACTTAACATATGAGACTGGTTACTATGGTGACATAAACACTAATAAAATTCACAACAATATTTTGGTTCGTTTACTTTTTGTGTATTAAATTTTTTCTCTCAATTGGAACGCTTTTGTTGACGCTATTTTGCTTATCGATGCATATATCACTAACGCTTTACACAATTAAACGAATTATGGTTTGATATCTACTGCCACGGATACAGTTTTTCATGCTTTGAGTTTAATGCTCACCAATCATCAATAAACTGGTTCTTGGGTACATTTGTTCATCTATGAGTAACCACATAAGAAAGACCAATTGACCTCATCTGCTATCCTCACAAATTGGACTTGACATTTCATTCATAATTTTGAATCTCAGTGGTTTACTTTCTATCCATTGGCCTCCAATCTTTACCTTTTCATCAAAATGAATGGTAAGCTATTCCAGGATTTATATTCTGTTACTTCATATCAATTTAGATTCACGTATTGATTTTGTAACCTGTATTTTTTTTGTTGATTCAGATTCTATTTCCAGTGATGATGAGATATCAGATATCAACAAGATTGTCCAAGATGCCAAAGATCTTTATGAAAAGCTGATTGAAGATGAAGAGACAGCTAACCAGTTGTTGTGCAAAGCGACTTTCTTGAATAATGCCGCAGTCACAATGGTTGAGGTAAGTTGACGCATTTCGATCAAAACATGAATCACTTGATCAACCTTTTCTAATTTCTAATTTTCCTTTTTTCAACCAAACAGTACCAAGATATTATAGATGATTTAGATGAAGATTCAAAAGATAATCCTAATCCAAGTCAAACTTCAGCGATCATAACTGAAAGCCGGCAATTGAATCAACTTCAAAATGAGAATGCTCAACTTAAGATGGCTTTAGAGGATCATCAATTTGCATTAGAGCTGATTATGAGTAAATATCGCCAGCAAGTGTGCCGATTCTTAAATTACCAGAAATGTCAAAAAATGCCAATGATAAAATCAAGTTGTTCAACTGAAACTGTACATCAACTCTCAACTCGAATCAAAGATATGTCACAAGTTATGATGGACGCAATAGAGGCTGATGAAGACAGTCAAGTGAAAAGAGATAGAATTATTTCTCAATTAAAGGTGGAAAACGATACTTTACGAGAATTGGTTAAAATTGCACTACAATTTGAATCCCTAAAGATAGAAGATGTTCCAAGTGATATTTTATTGAACATCCGTTAAATATATTATTTCTATTGAAATTATTGATACGACGAAAATTATTACACATTTTCTTATTTATAATCCATTTTAAGATGCTAAAAAATATTCAATTGTAATAAGGCTGTATCTGAATGTTTTATAATTGTAATTGGCGATTAAGGTGAAACAATAAACGAAATACGTTTTTTATAATTCAACTCTTATACTGTTATTAACTGTTATTTAGACAGCTTTGATCAAATATTCAATAAAGTCAGTCATTTATAGATTTAATCATTTTATTAAATAAAGCACTAAATTTTCCAAGATAGGTTTAAATCACGATGCAAAATGTATTGAAAACCACTTTTAAATTGTCTGAAAATTGATATCTTAGTATATCTTACAAGCTATACAATAAAATGGACAATTGGACTCACTTAACTGAGATAAAGATGACTGATTTCGAGTTTGATTAACCGAGAAATAATCATCAAGCTGTGAGTCATTCATAGAGTTTTAAAAGTGGTTTTCAAGTGACTCTTGTATCGTGAAATAAATAGCAACAGATAAATCATAAGTTCATTCTAATTTTTTCATTTGCATTTTTATCATTATTTTTGTTTCTTTCTTAGTTAAACATAATCTTTTTGCAATTTTAGAGTAATTTCTATTTACATCTTAATTTTTTGGGAGGAATTGGAAAGGGAAAAATCATAGGGAGATAGAGAGAAGTCTATCTACAAAACAAATGTGAAACAATTTTATATTGAATGGAAATAAAGAGATAGACGAACTGGAAAAGGTTAATTTTTGATTTAACAGGTAAAGTTTCTCAATTAACAACAAGACAAAGGTTTGAGTAGGTGTGATGATGATAATGATGAGTGGAGAGGTTTAAGAAGAATGGTAGAATCGTCAGGATGATCGTTATTGCCCTTATTACAACATACAAAGAAGTGACAAAATTTGCATTAGAAAAATTCTCGAACTGATCATACCAATTAATTACAAAAGTTGGAAGGGATAAATGATTAGAAGAGCAAAAGGTAGAGAAAGACATGAAGAGATTTCGTTCGAGAGGATATGATGAGTGTCAAGAGTGATGAAAGAGATGAGGAGAAATGGCAAAGCTACAATGTAAAGATGAATGAGGTATGACGAGAGTAAAGATGAAATACAGATTGTAGAGAAGAGCAACAAAAAGAAGAACCGACTCGATTCCTTTATTCCATATGAGGTTGACTTGATGATGGATTTGGTCCATGAGAATTGTTCGAGTTCGGATATTGATGAAGATAATTACAACGGGCCATGAACCGGCAGTTTCCATTTTTAAGGAAATTACGACAAATTGGAGGCACTCGCGGTCTAGATTGCCAAGCACCAGGAGGTGGTTGAAACCCAGCAGGAGGTATTGGACGAGGTGGAATGAGGCGACCAGAACCGGGTGGAATAGCAGCAACAGGAGGAGTGTAAGGTCCAGCGTAAGGTGGGTATCCTGCCACTGGTGGCACAAATCCTGCAGGAGGATAAGGTGTCCTAGGAATAGGACCACCTGGAGGTCTTGGAGGTCCCCCCATACCAGGAACTGGAGTATGGAACGACCCTGGGACAGGAACTGTTGGACCGGGGACTGATCCTCGATTAGCAGAGTAAGATTCACCAGTCTTTGGCTGAGGAGGTGGTACTTGAGAAAAGTCGTTGACTGTGAAGTTTTCATCCTCTAATGGAATTTTTCGAGGTCCAGTAATGTTTTCACTTGGTTCGAGAAGATCAGGTTCCTTGGGATAATACTCGGGAGCAGTTCCAATAGTTGGGAAGAAGTCGCTGTTCAAAGAGTTTCTTGTTGCTTCGGCTTGAATTCGTTTTTCTTCGGATTGACTTCCGGCTTCTGTTAAAGGCAATCCTGGAGGTAGCTCAATTAAAATTAGTCTCCAAGGAAGATAAGAAACCGACTTTTCTGCTGTTGGTGCTGCTATTGGTGTCCCTGATGACCCAGGGACAACTGGTATACCCTTATTCCTTATTTGTTGTAACATTTGACGTTCATTTTTTATATCAATAGATCTGTAATCACCAAAATTACCTTTAGACACATTGGCTCTTTCAGTTTCGTCAAGCTCAAAGAATCTGATTTCTTTAAGCCTATCCTCCGCTCTCCATCTAACAGATTTTTTAGATTTATTGGATGGTCTACCATAGCTAAGAATAGATTTGAAAACACCTGGTAATTTACTAGCATCAATCTCAGGAATTACAAGATTATCTATTTCAGGAACGTCAACAATTGGTAATCTATCATCATCATTATTATTACTATTAAGATTATTAATATTATTATTATTATTGCCAGCATTACTATTAGAATCATCTCCTGATGCTGATGCTACCCTTTCGTCGTCCATCTCATCTGATAGATCATCGGTATCCATTGGTTCTTGACCCTGTTCATCTCCATTATTGGAACTTTCGACCGAACCTGAATCTTTGGCAGCATTACTACCTGTTGTTGTAGATTTTGATCTCGATTCAGACTTTCTTCTTTTTCTGACTGGACCGACGGTTGAAAGATTTACAATGTCTGTGATAAAACCAACTGCCTCTTTAAGAGTATGCTTGGGTTTAGCTGTGGCGACTGTTTTTGCTTGAACGGCTTGACCACTACTAGAAACTGAAGCGGAACTGTCAGCTGATTTGCTGTTTAACTTGGTATTTTTACCAGGACCAGATTTGTCTGTAGTTGAATGAGGTTCTTCACCTTTTTTGCTTGAACCTTTGAGTTTACTAGAGCCAGTACTACTGTCTTCCAAAAGGCCTAAACCTCGAGATTTACCGAAAGAAACCTTCGCCGTTCTTGGTCGCTGTTCGGATTTACTACTAGATGTAACACTGTCATCGTCCTCTATGGATTTAGTTGTTGACGTTGGTTTGTTTGCAGTGTCACCAGATGAACTATTAGTAACAGTGGCATCATTAACTGAAGCTTGTTGTTGCAATACACCTCCACCTTTAACCTTTCGTAACTTTGTTGAATCACTGCTGTCTTCATCGTCAATAGACTTATCTTTCTTTCTTTTTTTGCGAGCTAAGTTGCCATTGTTAATATTTTCATTCGCTTTGATCAATCCATACCATTTGGTAACCACAGTTTTTGCTTTATCAGAAATCTCCTTGTCAGCAGTTTTAGCTAGCTGTTTAACTAACTTTGGTGTATCATTCTTTTTTAACCTCTCAACTGTCATAGGGCACTTGTCAAGAAGGTCAATCAGTTCGCATATGTACGGATAATTTTCTCCTTTGAGTCCTTCTTTTAACCAAGCATTTATTAATTCCCATCCATCTTGTTCCTCTAGAAAACTGTAAAATTGAAAACAAAAAATTGAAGATAAGAGAGGGTTTAGATAGTCAGACTCAAAAGTCAGACCAAACCAGCAAGGACCAGTGAGAGAAGAAAAGCATAGGAAAAAAACATTGATGGGGAGTCAACATGGATCCTATTGACACCGATGAAGAGGATTGTGGTGAAGTTAAAGGGGATTAGATGAATTATCATGACTTACCATTGTAAAATGTCCGGTTCTGTTGACAGAAGTATACTACAGAAAATACAACGGCTGACCAATTTTTTGGAATATCTTTTCATTAGATTGAATAATTTAGGCACATTTGAGATTGACTTGATGCCACCTAATTCAGTCAGGCAAGGCTTGAATGCCTTGATTAATTCCGTTGGATCAACGGGAGCCATTAATTTAATTGTTATATATATATAAATATAATTAAGATTATTATATGTATATATATAAATATATGTGTAATTGTATAAAAAAACGTAAAGAACAAAAGAGGAAAAAATGTCAAGAGAATATAAAGAAAGGTTGACTTTAGGTTTGGTAAATGAGTGCGGCCTTTTTAGATTTACTACTTTATATGTTTAATTATTAATTTTGTTTTAATCAACCAGTGATGTTGTTAACTATTTGACAATGGAAAAACATATTGATAAATTGTAATATTTTTAATTAAATAATATATTTAACATTTAATTCAGCGATGAAAACATTTGATGAAATGAAAAAATAGAAGACTTCCCTTTCTTTCTTCCTTTCTGCAACTCAAGCCAAAATGTGATGAGTAGTAGTACCATCTATACGAGGAAAGTCTAAGTTAAGAGGTAAACTTTCCTAGATGTCACCAGTATCACAAATAATGTTAATCTAAAAGGAAAACCAATTTTCAATTCTAATAGGATTTATCATTGGACAACAATAAAGATATTAATCAACGAATCTTCATTATCATAAATTATTTTACTTTAAACGTCATTGTTGAACAATCAATACTGACCAATACAAGTTAGAGTACATTTAGAGCTCTAAATGACCATCAAAATGTAAACCGCAATTTTCGTTTACCAAGTGAAGTTTATATACTGAAATGTTCTGAGTGAAAGTTATCGCTTCTCGGCCTCCTAGGCTAAGATCAAAGTGTAGTATCTGTTCTTATCAGCTTGATCGCTGGTACCCGACGCACTCCGTCGGTATGCGATTGAACATATTTTTGTGAACGGATGAGTGTCTGAGCTTGCTTAGACCTTATCACGGGTTGGCCTGGCATTGCAGTACCGCCAGGATCGGCCCACTAATTAAAATCAAAAAACAGAAGCACCCAAACAAATTGAATGTAAACCTTCATTCGAAGAGTTGATTCAAATTTTTTTTCTTCAACATAAGAGTTGAAGGATTAAATATTAAAGGATAAGACATGATTGAAGTTTTATTACATTTTTATTCAAGTTAAATGTGAATGTAAGTGTACAAAAATGCTTAAAAAAAAGTTAAGCAGCAGGAATCAAATTGATTGATGTCAAAGACAGTGATGATGATGATGTTGATGAAAAAATGATGACAAGACGGTAACAATATGACTTATGATTAATAAAGTGAAAGGCACAAAATGGTTGAAAACCAAGAGAAAGTATTAAAACAAAGAATTACTTCAAATGCTATCTCCGGGTCAAGGTGTTTTTGCTTTGAAAATGGCATTGGTTGACTCTTGATCCAGAATGTGTGACCATTTTTACCAAAGTTAAGCAGCATAAAAAGATAAAATTAAAATCTTTGTTCGTCTATTATATTAAAATTACATTGTTGTTTCCAACGGTGGACGGATTCTGTTTGTTCATTTCACAGAGGCAGTGGGGTGAGAAACGATGGTGCAAAATTAAAATAATCTTATTTGTCTGTATATAAAGGCAGGTTGCTAAGTAGGGACAATTAGTCGATATAGGAATTTTTCATTTGTCAATAGACAGTGCGTGATGAAGAGGAATCAAATTTATATAGTAATTTGTGTAAGGAATGATGAATTGGTTGAGAATTGGAATGATGTGATTGAGAAAAATGGAAATGGTGATTGTCAAGATTTGCATGATGATTGTACTGTCCTTTGGTAACTGGTGAAGTTATTTAAGGAGTTGGTGGTTTAGGATAAGAGAAAGCGATGACGGAAATCGATCATCTTTTTTAATCATATTTGATATAGTATTGACAGGAAACAAAAATTCCTGAATAATAAAGTTAATCTTTTGAGAGATCAGCAGAAGCGCGAGTCATTGTTTCTTTGAAGCCTTCCATCTTGAATTGTAAAATTAATAAATTCAACAAAGTAAATCATCCATTGTTAATGAATAATGATCTTCATTTGATTGGATGTTTTTGTGGATCGGAAATTTGTAAGATGAACTTGCACCAATTGTAGCTTCAGAACCGGATGACTCTTGATCGAAAATTTGTGACCATATAGCTTAATTTACAAACAATCGATTGTAATTAAAATTATAGTAATATTCTTTGTTTTGTTCGATTAAATAGGAATCACATTGCAGTTTCCAACGGTGGACGGCTTCTGTTGGTTGATGCGGTTGTTACAGAGGCAGTGGGTGAGTAACGATTAGTCGATGAAAATTGGAAATAATCATAATTATTGTCTGTATCAAGGCATGTTTCTAAGTAGGGACGATCAGATAGTGAAGGAATTGTTCCACTTCGTCCATGGACGTTAAATGATGAAGTTGAATCATGATGATTATAACTATTTGTGAAAGGTGAAGAATTGTTGATAATTTGAGAGTCGGAATGATGTGACTGTGAAGGATAGATATTATTAAGAAGATTTGGATGATGATTGTATTGTCCTTTGGTTACTGGTAATGTTGATGAAGGAGTTGGTGATTTGCCCTTATATTCCTCATAATGATGAGGTGATGAATGACCTCTAGGATAAGAAAGAGATGGAGATGATGAATCTGAATGTTGATCTGTGTGATCATCTTCATCGTCATCATCATCCTCTGTTCGTTTTGTATCCATTGTTGACAAAGTATTTACAGGGGAAGAGTCTCCCGTATTGTAAGGATAATCTTTGGAGATATCAGCAGAGGCTCGCGATATTGATGGTGTTTCTTTGAAGCCTTCATTTTGAATTGTGAAATCGAATGTTGGCCTTAAAAGATAATCAACATTAGCATTTTCTAGCTGTGGATCTTTTGAAAATCGATCTTCCAATTCTCTGAACACTTGACGAGAAGGCTGACCAACACGATTATATTCAACCTCATCTGAAGTATCAGATCCAACAAAGTGTGAATTGTCTTTTGCTAATGAATCATAACTATCATTATTTGAAATGTTATTTGGATTTGTAATTCCTTTGAATGAACTGGCTCCAATCGCGGTAGCTCCAGCTCTCATGATTGCTCCAGAACCCATTGACTCTTGATTTTCACGAGCCATGATTATGGCCTTTTCTATTTGCCTTTTGTAAGCAATTTCACTCAAAGATGCTGAAGATGAAAAGGATCTATTTGATCTAATTGAGGCTCGAATTGAATTGTGTCTTTCCAATTTCTCCTTATGACGTTCACGTGATTTACATGTCCAACATAATAGGCAAAGGAATGTTAAAATAGCAGTGACCAATGAAATTGATATGATTGCAAGTCCAAAAGGTGATCCATCCAACCAGAATAAAGTAATTCCTATGGTTGGTGCTCGTTCACAGAGGAAAGGTAGTCTTTCATTGCACTGATAACTTTGTATTTTACCATCCAATAAAATGGTACAGCCTTTTTCAAGAAAACCTAAAGATTGAACCCAAACAGGATAGAAACGTCGATGATATGTTTCTTCTGATTCGTAAAGATAATTAGTCAATTCTTCAAAATGTGCTTTAACTACTGGCATAGTTGAGTTCTGCAATTCGCAAAAATGTTTGGCCTCACTATGAGTTAGTCGAGCCCCGAAATAAAGGAAACAAGTATCACCAATCTTAGTCCAGCCTCCAGAACAAATACCAGACAAGACTGAGGCATTACTTGTTAAATAAGGCGCAAATCTGACTGATAATAATTCTCGGTAGTCATTAGCATCACGAATACGACCAGCAACAGCAGCCGTTTCATTGAAACCCCACCAATTAAAACTTGCATCAACAAGTGCTTTCGATAAATCGGGCAAGGATTGGTTCATTGTGGCGATTTCAAAATTATTATCAGGATTGACTAAATAATTGTAATCATATCTTTGACCGGAATTAGTGGCAAATATTGTACTCTTTTCTTCCCAATGGCTGGCAAAATTGTTGTAAAACCAATTACGATAGATTGTTTGATGGGAATAGGAAATGTCAAAACCAACTACAGCCAGTTGATGACGACCATAGTTTCGTACCATAACATTCTCAGTGAAATTGAACAAGATTTTGGATAAATAAATGTTGTTCTTGTGGGGTGATAAGTTATGATTAAAGTAATTGCGACGAATAATGACAATTTGATAGGAGCCACTATCAGGTCCACGAATATACAAAGCTTCTCTTTTATGATTGTCAATAAACAAATTATTAACAATATAGGCATGTAAAGCGGCGGCAGCATTTTGAGCATTGACTCTTATTCTTAATCCTCCATCATTGTTTTTAATCAAATTATTTTGAAAATAAAAGTGAGGTGTGTTTTGGAGATGAAGGAAGATAGCGGACGGACAAGTAGTGAAATTACCAAAAATGGACAAACAATTTGACTCAAACGAGCTTCGCAAAATGGAAACCGAAGGTGATGTTTCTCCAACACTTTTGTAAATCATTCCTCCTAAACTGTTGTTGTAAATTTGGGAATTGGTAACGTTATGGAATAAACCACGACCGATAAAGTAAGAAATTGGACTTGTAGTTATCTCAGCCACAAATCCATAGATACCAGAGGCACCAGAGGCGTGGATACGAACTGAAAGGGAATCTTCGGATGATTTGTAATATTGAAGTTCACTTGCTTGACGACGATGTTCATTGCTAACACCCATTTCGGCAATTAATTTAGTTGTTTGATTGAATATATCACCATCATAGACACGAATGAAATCAGTTGTTGCACTATAACTGGATGAGTTGAACAAATTGAATTGAAGAAGTCGAAAGCCAACTTTTTTGGATTTAACAGAGGATCGGATAATTTTAACACAATCTACCGCTCGAGAATCATATTTGAAATAAAGTATGAGACGTTGATCGATGACCAAGTTTTTGTTTGTATCACAAATGTCAACAAAACTAAAAACGTTGTAAGGTAAAGTTGACTCTTTCAACGGGATGTAAGGCAGGAAAGGCATGTCAGTAGAAGCTCCGTTAAGTAATAAGTAATTAAGACCTGAGCCTAAATTATTTGTGAGATCAAGATTGTGAAAGATAAGGTGTTTTTCCGGAGCGATAGCTTCAATTCCATGATAAGCTGAATTTCGGACAGTTACAAACTCTAATCCAACATCTCGCTGAATTATTTGAATGGCAGCATTCCGTTCACCATGTAAAATTCCAGCTCCTAAAATTTCAACATACTGTAATCTAGATCTAGGCTCTTGGTGTGACCTGGTTGGAAGTTGGAAACTTGCATCAGTTGGCTTTTCGAAATCAGGAATGGCAAATCTTAATCCACCCCAATATTTATCTTCCTTCTCCTTTTCAAGAGGACCACAAAAGATGTATACGAAAGATTTACCATCATGATGACATCCTTGAGTTTCATTGGTATATCCATTAAGTCTAATTTCACATTCAGTAATTTTAGATTCTTTGCCAGAACATTGGAGAGGATGTGGCCAATAGCGAACTCGTGAGGTATAAGTAGGACTCATATCTATTCGTGGGCCTCTACGAAGATGAACATTAAGACGTGAATAGCCCAAAGAAGAACAAACTACCTGAGCGTTTCTCTCTGAGAATCGCTCATCACAGATTGGAATCCATTGCATTGTTGTACGATTGAAGATCTCAAGAAAACCGTCATGACGATTTCCCTGTTTCCATTCCTCACATGCTTCAGTATGACAAAGTCGTACCTCTGAAAGATCTGAAATTCGAGCCATTGATATTGATCTTTTTTCCCTTATAACATCAATTTCCAGACCATCTTTCAATTCAATACCATTATAATGACTGGAATATGGTCTCATTGTTATCCAATCTTCTCGAGTTCCGTAAGCAACTAAATCTCCAAGAACTAAAATACCAACGGATGGATAAAATTCAAGAACAACGCCAGGTTGAATGGTTAAATTAGCTCCAGGAAGGACAGTTAAATCAGCATTAATTATATAAGGCTTATCACGTTTGGTTAAAGTTAAAGAGGAATGAATTCTTCCCCCAAAAGGTCTATCTAGATCCATGAATGCTTCTCTAAGATCAGCGTTGACAAGTGCAGCATCAATTGATTCGGTTGTTAACATGGGACTAAAGTTGGCAATAGCATAGCTATTCCAGTCATCAAAATCAAATATACGTTCTTTAATTCGCGTTGAGTTGGCAGTGCCCCACCAATTTTCAACAACATTGATTCGGTTTTGAAGAGAACCAGTTAAGACTCCAGCAATAAATTCGAAAAGAAGTGCATCATTTCGTATCAAATTACGAGTTATGTTGATATATTGAACTCCTCTCAATGCCATTGAGTAACTAGCGGGGTTATGGTGGTCACGGCGAATTCCAGTCAAACGACTTTCATCAGAATTTTCCAAAATACGATTACGTCTAAAATAAGCTTGAACTATTCCAAACATATCAGCATGACTTTCAACATTAAATTCAACCATGTAACGCCCACTGTTTTGAACGATGTCATTGTCCTCTATAAGCATTGCTTTTTCCATACCAGTGATTGTAAACAGACCATCTTTGCACTTATTATCTTGAAAAATGTTTCGAGACATGTTAAAACGAGCAAAATGTCCATCAATTGTGAACTCGAAATTTGTATTTCGACGGAAAGAATTGTTATGAACGGATATTGAATGCGTAAAGTTTTCATTATATTGCCAAACATAGGGAAGATAAAGAATCACCCCTCCATTGGCATTGTTTTCAAATATTGACCCATTAACTGTCCAATGATACAAATTGTTTGATCCACGATAATTGCGACTTTCTTGATAAATGCCTTTAGAATTGCCAATAAATTTGTTGTTTATCAAAGTATAATTAATTTCGGCTAATGCACTCAAGCCAGGATCATAAAGAGGAGCATCGATGAGCAATGATTCTTTGGTATTGTTGATGAAAGAATTTGTGTTCAAGATGAATGTTTCATTGCAATGGCGATAAAAGAAATCACCATTTGTTCCAATATTACGATTGTAATGGCTGGCCGAGAAACCATGACGATTTCCTTGAAACAAGTTACCTTTAATAATTGTAGTCTTGATTTTACGGTTCTTTTCTTCTTGCTGCTCAGTCAAGTCTAAATCCAAGTAATCCTCAAAGGTTATCTTTTTTGTCACAAAGTAAAGAATGATATCGCCTTTTGGGGTGTGTCCAGCATCATAATCAAAGCTCACTTCAAACGAGTAAATCCAGAATGGAAAAGATGATAAGTTTGCTTTCAAATCATATTCAGGTGCTTTTGGGTTGTTTTTATTATACATTGTCAATCGGTCAGTGAAACCTTCAAATATTGGATTCAAAACCATGATTCCAATAGCATAAGTTTCTCGAGTTTTGATGTTGAATGAAAATTTAGAGAGACTTGCGGGCTTAGATGTTATTTTGACATACAAATGATCACTTTGTGAGGGATCAAGAGTCAAGTTGACTCCATCTTCAGGTAATGTTTTGATTGATTTTGGATCACGAGGAGCAATCCAGGATTTAAGATCCATTTGCTCCCATTTATTAACCATAGGTTCATAGTGATAGGCACTTCCAGCATTTTCTTGAATATGTGAATTTACCAAAACTAATCCTTGAGAATGAGAGATAATTCCATGGAAAGCATTTTTACGGATCTCAGAATTGGATATTTCTAAAGATTCTCTTGTATTAAAAAAGTCATTCCACATAATACCTATACCAGCATCATTGTTTTCCGTGATTTTTACATTAAATAGACGGTGACGATTAAAATCAATTTGTAATGCTGGTCTGAATGAGTTAGAGGCGTAGTCAAAGAGTCCAGCTTTTTCAATTTCAATGTGTTTGATTTCAGTTTGATCAGCAGACATTCCAAAGCGGACACCACTCCATGAAGGTCGATAACATTTGATTCCCACTTCAGAAAGGCACGAATTATCAAAATCACCTCGTGTTCGATTTTCAGCTTTACAACGTAAAATGTCATTGTCCAGGGGAGTGCATTGAACATTGCTTAAAACAACTGATGATTCTAAATTGGATGATGAAGTAAATTGATTCTTTTCCAATAACCAGTCACGAGAGTTAACAACTAAACCAAGCTGTTGACAAACAACTGAAGCGTCAACGATATCAAAACCATAAGAACAAACTGACCCCCATCTTCCATTGTCCATTTGCACTTCCAACAATCCATAATCTCCTCTACTAAGACGGACTCTTCCACTCGTTGAACCAAAACCACTAGTTGTTGCTCGGGCTGATCGGTTGCCAATAGCTTTGAATCTATCTCCTGTCACTGGTATTGTTGAGTTGACTTTGCTAGGGATAGATGGACTTTTCCAAACTTGATTGACACTTGAAGTAATGGTTGGTTGAGATGATGATCCAAAAGTTCCTGATGATGTAAATTTGATTCGATTCATGGTTTGGCTTTTAAACTCCACGTGGCCCTGAATCATCATTCCAATTGACTGATCAAATGAAAGAACAGTGTCTTCAGTGATTATCAAACGAGAGCCAGGCTTAACAAGAATATCTTCCGAAACTCTGTATGTTTTAGACTCCAATTGAAGTATCTCAGCAGCCATTTCTCCACCAATTATGTTACCTTCAATAAATGGACTGTATTTGTCTCTTTCCTTTTCTTTGTCTGAAGATAGATAGTCTTCATTATCAAATATATTCTCAGAAGTTCTATATCGCAGAAACTTAATCATGGCCATGTTGTAACGGTTTTTACGGTCAAAAATACGTTTATAAATTTGTCTTGATGGATATTCTCCTCTCATTTGTCCAAAATAATTCCGTGTAGCATCAATTGTTTTTGCATGATGTTCCAAATGAGATCCAAGCTCATAAGTTGATTCTGGATTAATTAGATTATTCAAATTAACTTTACAATTGCTTGAAGAAATAACAACAACAGCAGCAACACGTGATCTAGGATTGAGTCTGTCAAACATTTCACGAATAACATTGTCTTTGAGAATGTTGCGTTCGAAATTTAATTTTTGTCTTTCATTAGATTCTTGAAGACCAATATTGACCACAAATGGACCTCGGTTGCGAATAAAATGATTTTCTCGAATATCAATGACAGCTTCAACATCACGATAACGATAATCGTCATAAACATAATTCCAGTTATTAATGTAGAGAACACCTTTAGCATGCCCTTCGAAGTAATTATGAGCGATTAAACTTGCACGAAAATGAAAAGCTGGAGCAATATTAATAGCAAGCCGAGCTCCTCGGGTGAATCGATTGTTTGTTATCAAAATTTCATCACGTCTTCCATAATCAGGATCCCAACATGACTGGTAAACAATTGCGTCGCCCAAATTAGCATCAAATGAGTTCATTGATATATTCCAAAAAGATTCAGCAAGACAAACATTACCCATTAAAAGACCACCCTCCAGGTTATCAGCGATAACTGAATAACTAACATGATTTTCATTAGGGACAATCAAATAATGGGAAGATTCATTGAACCAAAAAGCTGCACCACGGAGTGAATTACGAGAAATTGTTGATCTATCAATGTGTTTATAACCTCCAGCTAATGTGACATTAACTCCATCACCAATATTATCAACAATGGTTGTTTGATTGATAATTACATCTCCAGTTCCAGAGGCAATGTTGATTCCAGCCACATAATCATGACCTGAAACCTGCGTTCGATTAACAACTGTTCCTGCTCTTTGATTTTCAACCCAAATACCTCGACCATTGTTATTTTGAATATTACAATCTGTAACATTCAAATCGTAAGCTCTACCCATGTCAGCAACGACAATCATACTGAATGTTAATCTTTTCAAAACAGCGGGCACATAGCAAATCCTGAGTTTACCTTCGCGAGAGGTAAAGCTTGGTGGACGAGTTGAGTTGCGAATTTGAAATCGAGAAATAACCGTTCGTGTATAACCTTCATAGACTTCTATGTAGCCATCTCGGCTCAAATGATAGTCCCTGACGTCACCCCAATAAGATTCACTCATTAAGTAGGGGAAATGGGCGGTTAATTGAATTCCTCTGGATTTCAAATCAGTTGGAATTTCAAAATAGCGACAAGCAGGATTTTCAACTCGGGACTCTTTGCTTTGGCCATGGGTTAATATCAAAGGATATACTTGAGATCCATCTAATTCAGTAGATTCTGAAAATGATTGTCCGTCTCCAATTGACTCATGGGTAATATAACGAATACCATCAGCACCATTATTTCTTACTCTTAAACCTTTAAGAGTAACACTTCCAAAGGAGCTGTTGATGAATATTCCATAGCCTCGGTTGTCAGAGAAAGAAGAATCTACAATGGATATTCCATCAATTGGATCGGAAATGTTAAGACCAGTAGCTGCAGACCATTTGACTTCAACTCGATTTAGTTGGGGAGGAACTCCAACTGAATAGATTGCAGCAACAGGTTCACCGTCAATATCTTCTCCAGCATAAGTGATGATCACATTTTCAAGAATAGACCGTGAAATCTCCCGACGAACCCGATCATTAAAAAGTAAAGTTGACCGTGAAGATGAACGGATAAACCTTAATCCTGACCAATAAGCTGGAATCAAGGGGGATGATGGTGGACTGTATAACTGACGATTACATCGAATACCAATATCTGCATGGTAATCACAAATGCCACTTCCAATTCGACGACCTCTTACCCAGTTTGGGCAATCAAGTAAACTAGATTCAGATCCAGTGCAGCCAGGATATTCAAACATAAGTTGACGAGAATCATTATGCCTAGGTAACCATGAATACCAATGGCCACCATTGAATCCCAATTCACGACAAACAACTTGAATATCAGAAAGAGTCCAATTCTTTGAATTGGTACAGACACTGTGCCATCGCCCCGAATATTTAATTTGGACTCGACCTTCAGAGGGCAGATCACCATCAACCAATCTTACATCAGGCCATGCAACTGAACTAAGGCTTGAGATCACAGATGAATTTTGGCTTTGATATGATGAGTATGAATAATCTGGATTCTTTTCATTGCGTGTGAATATAATTTTTTGATCTTCAGTTCCCTTAGCCTGGATAGAGCCATAAACTGTTACACTTTTACGATGATTGAACCTTAATTCAACCCCTGGTTCAATGATGAGGTCACCATTTTTCTCTATGAGAATATTTTCACCTATAATGTATGGACTGGCAGAAAGTTTTAAAGTTAACCGAGAGTTAACCACTCCGCCGGTAAACTTGGCAGTTAATGTATCACTATTTGTTGATGATGAATGATGTTGACTGATGTATTGGTTATCCACATAATTATTCCTTAACTGTTTATCATTCGAAGTTGATTCGGGGAATGATTCGATTGAATTATAAGACTGAGAACAACTGTGATTTACAAGTAACAAAAGTATAAACAACAATTTATAGGGTATCATGGTTAAATTCCAGAAAATGAAAATACCCTAATGAATTTACTAATAAAATATACACAATAACTCAAGAAAGTATCAAGATAACTTTCTTGAGTGGAAAACTAAAAAAACTAAACACACCCAAGAAAAGAGAGCCATCTATTATCAGAAATTTGTTAACCTGATGCAATGGTATTAGGAATCCACTTCTGTAACTTGAACAACATTAGATACTGTAAGAATAAACGATTTTATTGATTGTCTTTTTTTGAATCTTTCAGTGCGCTCTATTGATTTACTGGCTCTCTTCAATTTTAAGAGGATAACTGTAAAGAGGAAGAGAAATGATGAAGTAGAGTTGATATCATCTTGCACATCCATGCCAAACGGTGAGGCTGGGTTTCATCCAAGGGGATTATGTTTCCCCCCAACATCTTATTGTTTCCAGGAGCTGTTTGACTAGTTGCAAAAGCATAGGTTGAACAGGTAGATAGTAACCCTTCTAAACCTCAACTAACCGTTCCGGTCAATTGTTTGCCATTTTTTTCAGATATTGATTACTATTGTACTCTTGATATTACCCATTAGTTTTATTGCGTATTTAAAAAAATCTTCATTTCAATTTTAGTTTCAATAGTTGAAATTGGGATGCTGGAAATAGGGTTAAACTAGTTGACGCATTGATTTTAAATAACAATCTTGATAAGTCAATAGTGATGATCATGTTTCAATCAAGAAAAAAGTAACTAATTGTGACTTGCATGGGAAATGACCAAGATCCATGTTTGTTGAAGATCAACAATTGTTAGCCGTGAAAAAAATAGAAAAGTAATTCACTTTTTCAAAAATGTTTTTATTCTTGTTTCCCTTTCTCAAAATAAATAGATTTGATTAAAATTAACAAAGAGATCGCATGAGTTAGAGATTAAATGCTGGAAATTGATTGAGCCAGTTTGGTTACATTAATAAAGGGTAATGTAAGATTGCCATTTAAATCGGAAACGAGGTGTAATTGATAAGATTGTTTTTGTGGGTAAAATTAGAAAATATTGCTTTTTAGATTAAAAGAGAAGTTAGTTAAACAAATGAAATTGATGAATAAGCTTTCAATTGTTTGACTTGATTAATTATTGCTTATAAAAATATCAAAATTGATCAAATTAATCGCCAGATCGTTGACTGATTATATTAAAGCACACAATTTTTCAGGCCTAATGAATTCAATCAATCTTTCGATTTTTTGAATATTTTTCAACAAGTTCACGGACTTTTTCAGCCAGTTGATCAGCTTTTTCTTGTGTTTTAGATTCTGCATAGACTCTGACAAGATCTTCAGTTCCAGAGGGTCGGACAATTACACGACTGTCTTCACCAAAAGTGGCAATCATTTGATTTAAATCATCCTGTAATCCTGCTGGTTCCAAAACAACTGTTGCGATATCATTAGTCTTTAAAAATTTGCGATCTGGAACAATTAATTTCAACAATCTTGATGGAGAAGTTTCATAAATTGCATCCCAATCTTCAATGTTCCAATCTTTAGCTCTGAGAATTGCTTCAACCAGAAGAAAATCTGATATTGCATCACCAGTTGCCTGATAAAAGCAAATAAAAAAACGGAAATTAATACAACCAGAATTAACTATTATCTTGATTAAAATAAACTGTTGATATAAACTGTTGATATTAACCTGATTCATAAGATCGAAAACTTGAAGCAATAGTTTAGCAGATCCTGTTGAGTCAGTTCGTACAGTATTTTGAACCAAGTTGTAAGCTTTATCATTATAAAGAATCGAACCATGACCATTAGATTCGAAAAATATTGAAATATCACAGTCAGCAGCTTTACGCATCAGATGTTTAACCCCAGTGGCTGTATACTCTACATTGACACCAACAGTATTTCTGAGAAACTGAGTTGTCTTGCCATTTGAATAAGCAGTTTGGACGACTTGGATAGTCAATTTATCTTCAAGTTTGCAATCAGATAACAATCCTTTGACGTAAAGGCAAAATAAAGCGGCTATCTTATCACCATTACATATTCTCAAGGCGCCATTATCGTCACCTCTTTTGTAGTAATAAATAATTCTATCAACATCCCCATCAAACGATGCCCATCGTTCACCTGGTTTACACGAGCAACCAATTGGCTCTTTCATATCAGTTTCGACGTAAAAAGACCCGCATTTATGGTTAACCACACCGTTTCCAGAATTGTGAATATTAATTGTCAAATAAGGTTCTAATAAAGATTTCATGAGTTTCATTTTGATTCCACCAACACCGTTAGCACAATCAATATTCAACAAAGGTTTGTAACTTTTAACTGTTGATTTCAACGAAGCGCACTAAAGGGAATCAGAAAGAGTTAAGTAGGTGTTAATAAAGACATAAAAACATAAACAAAAGAAAAGAGAACTTACCAAATTTGCAAAAGCACCCGAAAATTTGGTGAAATAACCAGATTCTGTAGGTTCACCTAAACTTTTGTTGTAAGCATAAACTATATAGTGTAATTGTGGTGTCGTTAAAAGCCCAAGATCACGAACACAGGTATCCATAGCTTTAACTCCATCAGCTGCTGACAAGGCTAACTTTTCTGAGCTATCTCGTGTATCCATGCCCATCAAAACTAAACCTTCACCTTTCATGTTCATCTTGAGGATCAAATTTTTAACTGAATCTTCCAACTTCTCATCTGACTCATTGGCTAATTCAGTACAAATAGGTTCCCATGATTCTTCCAACATAGATCCAGTACAGTCAATCAATTTGATTCCATTATCTTCAGCTGGGTTGTGGGATGCAGTGATCATCAAACCAATAGCTTGTCCATTCATAACTTTAGATTTGATTGCAGCAATGAGGCCCATTCTAAATGCAATAGAATCAAGGATCTCAGCCCTAAAGACAAAGAAAAAAAGACATTGAAACAAAAGGAAAACATTAGAAATGATGGATCAAAACTAAGCCTGATACCAACGAAACGATAATAATCACTATAATTACATTCAAGTCAAAGTCAAAATTCATTGATTTCTTACCTTGCTCGTAGCCCAGAAGTTCCATAATCTACATGGTCTGGGTTTGATTTAGGATGCTTGCTAGCATATGCTTGAAACTGTGAAGACAATGAACACATATTTTGAAGCCGTTGGTACAACGGTGAGTAGCAATTTGATATGAAGCCTAATAAACTTGTAAATTTGTACAGTGTTGTAGATAAGAAACAGTGATTATATTATTGAGGTTAGTATGTGCTATAAAATGCCGATGATAGTCCAACGATAATGCAATTCGATATAATGAATTGAAACAGACAAGAAAAGTGGTAAGAAGTTTACAGCAATACAACAAAAATGAGTAATAACTCTCTATTCAATCTGCAGAGGGAGCTAAAAAGGAGCTCTTGTTTTTTCGTTTCCCATTTTTAATTAAAATACTTTATAATTAAGCTTAATTGCGACTTTTATCTCGTTTAAATCAGTTTTATCTTTGAAATAACTATCTAAAAGTCAAGAAACTTGAGCTGTTATTTGAATAGTAATAATTTGGAAGAAAAAGGTGGAAGTAAGTTAACAATGTTTACCTATTTTTATTAAACAATCAGCAACAAGAAACTGTTACAACAAAAGAAAAAATCTCAATTTGATAATGATGAAAGCTGTCAAGTTGAAGTGACAATTTCTTATTCGTTTTTTTCTCTCTCTTTTATTTCTCATTACTCTTGCATGATTCATTGTTCTGATTTTTAATTGTTCAATTTGTTTTGGTGGTTTGAAATTAATGGCTGATGTTTATGTTCCTGTATCTGTGTTGCCACCCTTCTATATTTACATCTTTAAATCTGTTTACAGGAACCATTTTGATACAATTATCTGGCTACATCTCTGTTGATAGACAATAGACAACTGTTGATGATTGACGTTGAGATATTTTCACTCAAATAATTGACTTTACTGAATGGAATCAGTTTGGTATAAATTATACAGAGGAAATGACATTTATGCTACAACTTGGAGCTATTTATTGCTGTGATATTTGCGTGATTAACCAGGATGCAAGATGATTTGTAATGAACTGTCTGATCTGTTTATTTAACAAATGACTCCATCAAAATGATCATAACACCTCATCGTAACATCTCGATGACCATTTCATACAAACCATGTCTGACCATTTTATTACTAGATTCAAGATAATCTTAATCTAATAAAAAGCCTCATACCTCACCTTTAGTCTGATTTTCCAGCCAAAAGTCATAATTGTTTGTAAAATTCAATGAAACACCTGTATTCCACTAACAAGCCAAAACAGTTATGATCATGAAAAATGATGAAATGTGTTTGATTATTCTGTTTATACAACAACTGTTGATATGGAAAGCAGAATCAAGAGGAATTATACCATTAAACTGTGTCTATAACAATCAACTGTGTGAATCAGTTGAAGCCCAAATCAGGTATGTACCATGTCTAATTGTGGTTACTGAAGTTTAATTTCATTTTTCTTTCCAGCAGTGATGATAAAATGGCCAGTTATTTGAATAAAGATGCTTTCGATATTCAAATCGGCGATGATAGTGAATTAAATGATTTGGATGATTACGGACAGCCTTTTTTAGGAGACGAAAAAAGGGTTAAAGTTAAAAAATCAAAGACAGAGATTAACCTGGACCCATTGATTCCCATATTAACCCAGATTGCCGCTAAGCGAAAACAGGAAGGTAAAAACCGAAAAGATGATCCAAATAAAGCTCCTAATCGGAATTTCCAAACGCAAGGATGGCGCTGATATGAATAAAGTTCAATCTTATTTATTAAACCATCTGAATAGCTAGTCATACTTAAATTTTAGATCGATTAGATTTTTGTTTGCTTTACTTCGCACTTAAATGATCGCATTTTTTCAACCAACAATTTCCTCCAAGGTCGCTGTCAAACTCAACTGTCAAATCAATCAAACTTCGAACATTAAACTTTAATTATTTCCAATTATCAATTTCCTTTTCCTAGGCTATCCTTAGGGTAAGAGATTCGGGAAGATTCGGGTATTAATCAGTTTAAACAATTAGACGTTTAAGTTGGGATAAGAAGATTTTATGAAAAAACCGCTTAAGTTTGTTAACATTATTGTCCGTAGATGGCGAGCAGTGCTCTATTTCTCTGCTTCTTTGTTTTCAAATCAAATAAATTTCAAATTCACACTTCAAAAATCAAAAGTCTGCTGTTATTTGAAATCAACTCAAGTTTAAAAACTTTACTTCCAATTTATCTCAACTTTAAATTGTTTTATTGTTTAAATAAAACTCTGCAAAGTAAACTTGTCTATTTTATTTCTACATTATCGATACCATTCTAAAGGAATCAAAAGCAAACAACATCAAAGATGCCTGGACTACTCAAATCTCCAGATAAGAACTCAATAAACCAAATACCCCAAGTGAACCCAGACGCCCCAAATGAACCAGTGGTACCAATTCGCCGAACTTTCCGAAGACGACCAACCATTGTATTCGAAGATTTAGAGATAATCGACGTTCGTATGCATTCGCGACCAGAAAACGCATCACCAATGCAGCTTTTTTTCAATTCAGCTCCATTTCCCAGAGTCTCAGTTCGTCGTGCTGATGGTGTATCAAGAAAACTTGGTTAAACTCAATCAGGACATTGCTCATTCAGCAAAGCATTTTGACGAAAATTTTGATTTCTAACTTATTATGTACTCTTAATTGAATGATTTATACAACTCAATCTTGATTTCTGACAATGTACCCACAAATAATTCTTTATTAATCTGATCTTCAATAAACGTTTTTTTACTTTCAAAAAAGTTCTCGAAATCTTTACTTCTCCTTTAAATTTTGCATTTATATCAAAATAGGAAAAACTACAAGGGAAGGTTCCCAAATGCTACACCAGTTTTCAATTTGTTTTGCCTCAAAATATTCGTTGTTTACTCATAGGTTTATGTGCCAAATGCAAGTAATGTGGATCTGCGCGAAATTTTAAAATCTGTTTTTAATATTTATTGATGGATCATTAGTCTTTAAAAATTTGCGATCTGGAACAATTAATTTCAACAATCTTGATGGAGAAGTTTCATAAATTGCATCCCAATCTTCAATGTTCCAATCTTTAGCTCTGAGAATTGCTTCAACCAGAAGAAGATCTGATATTGCATTACCAGTTGCCTGATAAAAGCAAACTATTATCTTGATTAAAATAAACTGTTGATATAAACTGTTGATATTAAATTGACCATTAGATTCGAAAAATATTGAAATATCACAGTCAGCAGCTTTACGCATCAGATGTTTAACCCCAGTGGCTGTATACTCTACATTGACACCAACAGTATTTCTGAGAAACTGAGTTGTCTTGCCATTTGAATAAGCAGTTTGGACGACTTGGATAGTCAATTTATCTTCAAGTTTGCAATCAGATAGCAATCCTTTGACGTAAAGGCAAAATAAAGCGGCTATCTATCACCATTACATATTCTCAAGGCGCCATTATCGTCAAAAGCACCCGAAAATTTGTTGAAATAACCAGATTCTGTAGGTTCACCTAAACTTTTGTTGTAAGCATAAACTATATAGTGTAATTGTGGTGTCGTTAAAAGCCCAAGATCACGAACACAGGTATCCATAGCTTTAACTCCATCAGCTGCTGACAAGGCTAACTTTTCTGAGCTATCTCGTGTATCCATGCCCATCAAAACTAAACCTTCACCTTTCATGTTCATCTTGAGGATCAATTTTTTAACTGAATCTTCCAACTTCTCATCTGACTCATTGGCTATCTTCAGCTGGGTTGTGGGATGCAGTGATCATCAAACCAATAGCTTGACCAACCAATAACTTTAGATTTAATTGCAGCAACGAGGCCCATTCTAAATGCAATAGAATCAAGGATCTCAGCCCTAAAGACAAAGAAAAAAAGACATTGAAACAAAAGGAAAACATTAGAAATGATGGATCAAAACTAAGCCTGATACCAACGAAACGATAATAATCACTATAATTACATTCAAGTCAAAGTCAAAATTCATTAATTTCTTACCTTGCTCGTAGTCCAGAAGTTCCATAATCTACATGTTCGGAGATTCGGGAAGATTCGGGTATTAATCAGTTTAAACAATTAGACGTTTAAGTTGGGATAAGAAGATTTTATGAGAAAACCGCTTAAGTTTATTAACATTATTGTCCGTAGAAGGAGTGCTCTACTTCTTCTTCTATGTTTTTGAATCATCCTTAAGTGGATTCAAGTTAAACCGCTTAGGTCTACTTCCGAGAATAGTTGTTAGATGACGCTGAATGCAAGGGCCTCATTCAGATTGAGGGAGCCACTGAGCCACTGTAAAGTCAAAGAATACTATCTCTGCAATATCTTTTTTCTCATCCTGGTCGCTTTTCCAACTGAAATTGAGAAAATCATCATTTGGTGAAGTGAATAGTGATGATCATTAAGTAATTTTGTTTTCGTTTTGGATTTAATTTTGATTTTTATAGTGATAAAGTTGGTGAAAATGTCTACAAATATTCATAATCAAGTTATTTCATCAAGTGGGACCGTTTTCACTGTAACCAAGCCTGTTTCAAGTCAAAGTGGATCAAATCAACAGCCACAGATATTGACTCAAGTTGTCTCTAATCCAGGCAACCAGCCTAATTTTTCACAAGTTATTTTAGCACCTAGTCGACCTGTATCAAATGCTGTAACCGTGACGCCAACAACAACGGGTATAAATCAAGCCCAAAGAGGACTACCACCTAGAATAATTAATTTACCTCCACAAGTCAGATTAGCTCCTCAAACCATCATTACCAGACCGGGAATCTCTGGGATCCAGGTAAATGCATAGCATAAAGCTTTACTCTACTTTCTGTGGTATACTTGTAGGAAATTTTAGCTTTTTTTCTTCATCTAATGGTATTATTAAGAAGCAAATTTTATATTTAGTATATTTTTAGTGGATAAATTGGAAAAAATTGCATTCGTCTGATATTTTTTTAGATGATATTAAATTAAGCTCTATGTAAGAACGAAATTGGTCATAGCGGGAACTCTATAACATATTCTTATGCGTTTTGCTCTTAGAGCTTACTTTTTTTTACTTTAATATTTCTCTTGTTTATATAATTCTAATATTGTATACTTTCTTTTATATTTTCAGCAAGGATATGCATTACCAGGATTTGGTAAAAATGCAATTCTCATCAAATCTGGTGATGGTCAATTTCAATTTGTTAATGTTGCTCCAAACATGAATCCAACACCCGGAGCACAAACTATTAGACTGACTGTACCAGTGACAGGTGTATCAACGATACCGCAATCTACCAATGTGGGAACAACAATAAGAGCACAGCCACAAATGACTGCTGTACCGAACTCTGCAGTAATCACTTCTAGAAGTGGCCAACCAGTACAACTAAATCAACAATTAACCATTCAAACCACCACGGCAAATGCCCAAGCTGCATCTTCCCAACCATCTCAAATGTCACCGAATACAGCTAAAACGAAGTGCAAAAACTTTTTATCCACATTAATTAGATTAGCCAGTGATCAGCCTGAACAAACTGCCACCAATGTGAAAAACTTGATCCAAAGCCTTATCGTAAGTTGAACACATATTTTATTTCTTCTAATGGCGCAATTTTTATCATTGTTTCTCAACGCAATTTCATTTCTATCCAAATGATTTCTAGGATGGAGCAATCCAGCCCGAAGAGTTCACCAATCAACTGCAAAGTGAGCTACATTCTTCTCCTCAACCGTGTCTTATACCATTTCTCAAAGTAAGTCATAATATTATCTTTAATCAAACATGCAGAATCCTTGTTAACATTTGATTTCAATTACAGAAAAGTTTGCCTTATCTTCGACATTCATTGATGATGCATGAGATGTCAATCGATGGTGTCCGGCCTCCTCCTCCTGGCTCTGTCCAATTACCACCTCAGCAGCAATCAACCTCTCAAATTCAGGTAAGTTACTCTTAATTACACTTTTTGACATCTCGAGTAACTTTTCATCTCTTTATTTGCAGATTAACCCGCAATCTAGACAAACATCCATTCGTTTAGTTGCAGCACCAATGACAAATCTGTCTCAACTACATCAGGGAGCTACCGTTATAACTGGCATTCGTCCACAAAATAGTTATTCTTCATCGTCAACTGGGACCACAATAACAGCTGTGACAACAGCACAAATATCCAGCAAAATGCCACTTATATCGCAAAACAGTGCTAGAGCTAAACCATCAGTAGCCAAGGCAAGAAATATAGCATTATCCAAAGAAAAAGAAAAGAAAAGCTTTGTTTCAACACTTCGTGATGATGACGATATAAACGATGTTGCTGCTATGGGAGGTGTAAATTTAGTGGAAGAAAGTCAAAGAATATTGGCGACTAATGCAGAATTCGTTGGAGCTCAGATTAGATCTTGTAAAGATGAAAATTTTCTATTCACCAATCCTCTTCAAAATCGTATTAACGAAATAGGTATGTATCTTGAGTGATTTCAGCAAAGAATTAAGATGAGGTTACTTTTTAATTACTTCATTAATGGTATATAAGTAAAATTTCACTTACTGCCTTCTCGAATTTTTTACACTTAAAATATTAATGAGCGTCAGATTTCAAACTGAAACAATCATTCTAAGGCGTCTTCACAAAAAAATCCAAATTAATATTTATTCTCTTTATCTTTCCAGCTAAAAAGAATGGTCTCGATGATGTGCTTTCCGATGTTGTGTCACTAGTCTCTCATGCAGCGCAAGAGCGTTTAAAAACTTTAGTTGAAAAATTAGGAATCATTGCTGAACATAGAATGGAAAATTTTAAGGTAAGTCATATATGATTTAGATGATAATAGATCAATACTAACTTCTCTATTTTCGTTTTCAGAATGATCCTCATTACGAAGTTACACAAGATGTTAGAGCACAAACTAAATTTCTCGAAGAATTGGATAGACTGGAAAAGAAAAGGCACGAAGAACAAGAAAGAGAAATGCTAATGCGAGCGGCTAAGGTATGTATCTCATTTGAAATCTGAAAAATTAAATCTGTCCAATATTTGCATACTAATCTAATCTAATTATTGTGTTTTCTTTTACAGAGTCGATCAAAATTGGAAGATCCTGAGCAGCTTAAGTTGAAACAAAAGGCAAAGGAAATGCAAAGAGCTGAATTAGAAGAAGCTCGCCAAAGAGAAGCAAATGAAACTGCTTTACTAGCCATAGGTCCTCGTAAAAAGATGAAAACATCATTCTCATCAGATAATAGTATAAATAATTCATTCATAAACAACTCATCGAATAACCAACAAGGCCTATCATTCTTTTCAAGTACACCAGCAAAGACACAGGTCAGTTTATCTTCGTTTATCTCATTCATGTTGCCATCTTTTCTTATTTGACTCAATTTTCATAAAAATATTTACTTTTTCTTGTTCTACAGATGCGTCGCTTCAAGCGAGTCAATATCCGTGATTTACAGTTTTTAATGGAACAAGAACGCGAAATGATTCGAAGTATAATGCTTTATAAAGCATATGTCAAATAATATTATTTAAAGAAAAAGTGAATAAGTAATTCGTAAATCAACTTTTAATAAAATTGGATGGTAGTTAACAACCTACCATAATCACCAAAGGAGAACTCAAAAAATGCGTTTCAGTCTAATTAGAGATAAATTATGCATTACCGCTGTTTCTTTCTTGTTTTTCTTGGATATCCAAAGCTTTTCCGGTAAAAAAACAAATAGGGAAACAAAGAAGGAATTTTGAGGACTTTATTCATGTTTAAAGCTGTCTTTAATGCTATTCTAAAAAAGATAGCATCTTATATTTCATCATCACTTTCACCTACACTTTCATCAAAAAAAACATCTCATCTTTAAATTCACCTTCATCGCAACCATCTCTATCGTTTTCAACGTTTCAACTGAAGCTCAACATTTTATCAGAATGAATATATGACAGGTTAAACATTGAAACAATAAATACAGATTATCTTTTACCTTCCTTTTGCTTTCTTTCTAGCATCACTTTTCACTATCATTGTGTATATAAAACCCTATTATATAATTATGACTAAAAAAATCAAAATAGATATTTCGACGAAAAATTAACAAACCCAATCTTTCGGTTCTTTCAAAACACTCATCAATTTATCCTCATCACTTCCATTAACAGGTTGGTGCATGTATTCCCAAGAAGCATGCAGTGGAAGTGAAATCAATATACTTTCGATTCGCGCTCCAGGAGTGAAGAAACCAAATTTAGTTCCACGATCATAAACCAAATTGAACTCAACATATCGGCCTCTTCGCAGTAGCTGCCATCTTCGATTATCGGGTTGATAAGGCTTTAAGTAATTTTTTTCAACAATCGGAATGTAGCAAGGAATCACAGTTTCTGCACAGCTTTGTATGAAATTGAAACAATCGTTTAGGGAAGGTTTATTCAAGTCATCAAAAAATATGCCACCAACACCGCGACGTTCCCCTCGATGTTTGATAAAGAAGTAGTCATCACATTCGGCCTTAAATTTAGGATAGTAGCTTGTATCATGGGCATCACAGGCTGTTTTCAAGGAACGGTGAAAATGCCTGAAAGTATCCTCATCATAAGTATAAGGTGTTAAATCGGTTCCACCACCAAACCACCATTCAGTCCCATGTTGTCCCTCTATCTCAAAATAGCGATAATTAAAGTGAACTGTAGGAACGTGAGGGTTTTTAGGATGAATCACTGAGCTGATTCCAGCCGCAAAGAAAGGCAATTCTCGTCCTTCATCCAACTGAATATCCTTATGCTGTTTCTTCATCTGAGCAACAGCCTCTTTGCTTAGCTTTCCAGTGACCACCGAGACATTAACACCAGCCTTTTCGAATACCTGACCATCCTGTAAGACACAAGATATTCCTCCACCTCCTTCCTTTCTCAACCATCTATCAGCAATGAATGAACTAGCAGGAGTAGAATCAGATGATTTCTTTTCAAAAGCTTCCAAGGCGAGACAAAACTTTTTTTGAATTTTCAGGATAAACACTTCAAAAATACTTCGAACCGAAGTAGGGTTGGCTTTCAATTCATCTAATGATGAAATGGGTTCAGCCATGAAAAAATCACTGGTCAAATTTTGGTCAACTGGATCCATTTTAAATTAGAAAAAAGAAACACAAAATGTAAACAGTAAAGAAAGAAAACCTAGGTTTACTTAATTGTAGGTGCACTTGACTGGAGTAACTCAAGTACCTCCTTAAAACGGGGATAAAAATAAACAAATCAAAATGAGGGGTGAAATGTTAAATGACAATCGTAATTATTGAAATACATAAACATGTTTTTAATTAAATTGTAATGTCGAAATTGCTTTTCAAAGTTAATCAAATCATACGAGAAGCTAATAATTTGTATTCATGTTGACCTAACAAGACAATAACAAATGGTTACCCTATGGATGTTAATACGTTAAGCTTACTGTGAAACCCTTTCCAACAAAAATTAAATGATTGTTCACAAGTGAGATTTAGTTAATAATAAAATTGATGATAATGATGATGATAGAGTAGCCTTAAAAGTAAATTTTGAGGCTAACAATATTAACCCTTAGGGTAACTTGTTTTGAAACAGAATCAAATCTAAAGTAAAGCAATTCACATCTTATACGGGTTTCATTTCGGACGATGATAATCACCCCTTCATGATCATCCTCTTTTTTAACCGAATCTTAGCCACATCAAAGTCAAGGTTGGACTAAATGGATGCTAATATCAAGAAATCATCATTCTCATCTCTTCTGTTGACCCATTGATCAAGTTTCATCTTCAGTTTAATTTTAAGTTTTGAATGTTTTCCTAGTCAACAATAATTTAAATTTTGTTTCGATTTGTTTACATTTTAATTGTTGAACTAGCTTTTGTGTCTTAACAGCGTCATTAAATATGGATTACAAATTTTAATTCATCAACCCCTGGATGACCAATGGATTTAAGTGATTTCCCTTCAATACAGATTTCAGTTTTCATCCTAAACTAAATTTGAGTCAACTTTACTCGATTTCTAGTGAACTTCCGTTTCATTTTTCTTCAAACTCTTTGACTTTCATTTTCAGCAATCTAATGTGCTTAACAGCCCAAAATTTGTGAATTCAAAAACAACAAAGAGATCGGATTTTCAGATCGAGGTTAACAGTTGAACAAGGACGAGATGAAGTTCACCATAATTTTATTTGTATCTCTGCTTGTCTGTGCTTTTTTGATTCATTCAAACGATTGTGCGATCAGAATTTCTCGGAGAAAATTGAAATTGCTGAAAAAATTGGCAGTCATTCTTTTCCTCGGAAAGAACAGGAAAATTTATACTGTGCCGTTTCCTCTTCCATTACCATTGCCGTAAGTTTCCAACGAGAACTAAAACCCAAAACCTAAATTTCTTCAGAGCAGTAAATTTGGGTCAATACTGACCAATATTGGAAATGATGAAAGTCAATTTAGAGATTTATTATACCAATGAACGAAAATAGTGATCAATCACTTTCTTTGCATCCTTTTATTATTACTAAATCAGGGCCAAATAGGCTGAGGTCTGATAACGGTTTATCAAAGTGATTTGAAACCGATTGAGAGTAAAGTCTTTGATCGACTCAGGTTAATAGTAAAGTTCAATGTTGTTAAATTTAGAGGCAATTTTAGATTGTTGTGATGTTAATGATGATGTAGATTGTGTGAAAGTGTAACATTAACCAAAACTAGGATAACCTTTTCAGGTATAAACCTTTACAATCAGTGCGCCGCATTAAACCTGAAATTCATTCTTCATCATCTTTTCACCATCAAATTAGATGATCTACATTTAATTGAGGCTAGAGACAAAACTGTTTACCTCTCTAAATTACATCATGTAAAAGTAAAAACAATTTCATTCATTAAACAGACAATGTTCTATTAATATGACCTCTAACTAACCCTCAATACGAATTATCAAATTGGTCCTTTCTCATGAAATTAATTTTCTCTCATTTGGTTGTTCTCTAACTAATCAAACTTGCTGCTATTAGTTGATGCACATTAATTGACAAATATTTATTTTCACTTTTTGCTTTACTCTTTCATGTATTCAGAGTAATCAACAAAGTACAACCAATAATTTATCGCCAGCGAGTTCCTTATCCAGTTGAGGTTCCTGTTCCTGTTCCATATGCTGAGCCAGTTCCATATCCAGTCGAAGTACCAATAGATGATCATCCATATGATGATTATTCAGATGATGAGGCCGATGCAATGGAAACCCGTGGATATGGTTATGGTTCCCCAATTAATAACAATAATATAAACAGATATCATCAACCACAGTCAAGTAGAGTGAAAATATTCACAAAAAGACTACCGAAAAGATATGACCAACAATATCCAAACCAGTTGAAGAGATCATTTTAAATTGCTGAAAGTATTTATTAACTTATTCAAGCCTCTATTTAGCTAAAATTAGTGATTATTAGAAACGATTAATAGTTGAAATGATAGAGCAAATTGTCGATGTAAGGAATGGATTGCAATAGCATGTAAATTAAACTTAATTGTTACCTAAAACCTGTTTTTCCGTCAATAGATGGAGACTTAAGTTGAGTAAATCAGCAATGAGTTTGAAGTTTAAAGCAATTCTTACAATTTTTAATTATTAATTTAACTAAAATGAACTTAGTTTTCTTATTTTTTAATACTGTGTATATCTAGTGATTTAATAAAATAATATGAACTTTCGTCTTTTTCTTGTGTACAAAACCGATTAAGGTAAGTGAAGTTGTTCAATATTGAAGCATGACTGGACAATGAAAAAACAGCAAAAATAAAGTCAAAACAAACTGGAACGAGACAAAAACAAGGAAACGAGATAATGCCACGGAATTTTAACGCATTGAAATGATATGAAAATCCATTTATTTCCAATTCAATTCAATTCTTCAAATACTTGAACTTTTCCTTTTTCCTTCAACAATTGTAGCTGTCTTCAACTCCTTTCAGCTTTAACTGTATGACTTCGGTTTTCCCTGTGCCTTGTACTAGTAAATGGTTCTGACCCTGATGGTCAGAGGGATGAACCAACAGATTAAGTGTATTATCTGTTTGAATTCACCCTGATCGAGTATTTCTGCTGAGAAATCGGTATTTATTGTCTAGCGCAAACTATATTTGTTTAGTTGCCCTTCAACCTTCTACTCTTTTTTACATTATTTTGACGCAATCTATCTTGTAATAGCAATTTATTTGTAGTATATTTAAAATTTAAAATAAACAATGAATATTATTTATTACAAAAGTCCTGAAGAGCCTTGATTCTGATGCACATCTGATAATAAACGTTCAATCTTATCAGAACAGTCTGCTACAGTCACACGACTTGTTATTGACAAGATGTAAAACCTAGATTCGAACTTATCGCAAATTGATGATAAATCGATTGGATCGAATTAACTCTTAAAAAGCTGACAATCAAAACAATCCCTCTAATTTATGTTATCCTGAAACAATCTGAAGGCAAAATAAACATTGAAGAATGACTTTTCAAACTGTGTTAATTGGACCCTTAAAAAGTTTGTTTGATTAAAAAATTATACCGGTAATTGCAAAGATAATGCTAATAAAGATATGTTGAATCAATTTTATTTTAAAACGGTGCTTAAATTGTATGTATTTTCTGTAAGAATAGTGAAGATGTTATTCAACGAGAAATTGCTGTGAGTTTCATCTTAACACTTTTGTTATGTGAAATATTTGACCGTTTGACTCTTTAGGTTTTCGTTTCAATTTAATTTTGATTATAACGCTTTTAACATTTAATTTTTTGATTTTAATATTTTATTTCGATAAGTTCTCAAAATTAAAGCTACCAGTTTATTTACTTGTAACGTATAAAGCTTATTTATTATGTTTTGGTGAAAGTAATATTTTAACTCCTTGGCCCTTCTTAAGAGCATCGAAAGCTGTTTGATAATCCTCCAAGCTAATTACATGACTGATCAAACCTTTGGCATTAACCCGTCCACTGGAGATGAGATCAATAGCAGTTGGGAATCTATTCAAGAAGATAATGGTTATCAATTCAACTGATTTTCTCTCAAAATTATATTCGGAGTTACTTACGTATTATTGAACCGGTTAACACCAATAAGATTTAGCTGTTTTATCGATGCAATAGTTAAATCAACACTAGATAAGCTAGCGCTTAATCCTTGCAATAAAACTTTGCCACCCCTTTGGGCTGTCAAAATACATGTATTGATACATGCACCAACACCAGTACAATCTATCGTAACATCAGGTGGTCCACCCATTATTTTCTTAACCTTTTCAGCAATCTCTTCCGATGTTTCACCAGGAGTGGTTAACAATGTGTAATCTGCTCCTAGAGATTTGGCAATGGACAAACGCTTTTCATTTAAATCAGTTATGCATATTTTGCCAGCACCGAAAGCCTTGGAAACCATCAAACATAATAAACCAATTGGACCAGCACCGGTGATAAAGATTGAATCATTGCCCTCTAGCTTGGCTCGTTTTATTGCCCAGACAGCACAAGCAACTGGCTCAACCAAAGCACCTTCTTCGAGTGTCATGCTTTCTGGTAATCTGTGCAAAGTAAATTTTATTAATTTCTGAACTCTCTAGAAAAGTTCAACTTCAAGAGCTAAAGACTGTGAAAAATGGAAACTGGGATTTCATACTTATGGCACAAAATAGCAGGCCAAACATTGGTTGATCGGAAGAACCCGTTCTTATTTGCTCCACAACTTGATACATCACCATAGGGACACAAATTATTTGATCCGATTCGACAGAAATCACAGGTCCAACAGGGTTCATGTGGTTCAATACAAACTCTATCACCTGGCTTGACGTTGGTTACTTTGGATCCAACTTTGACAATGGTTCCACTTGCTTCATGGCCCATAATTGCGTTCTCCTTGGCTTTGAATGGACCGATTCTACCGGAAAGGTGCCAATGAAGATCACTGCCACAAATACCACAAGCAGCTACATCAATCAAAACCTCTAAATAAAAAAAATCAAAATAAACAAAAATATCGTTTTACACTTACTTTAATATGACGATTCAAATGGATGAACTAGAAAAAAGTTACTATATACTCGATGATTTTTAATGCAATTACCTGTTTCGGATGGCTCATCATCTTTCTGGTATTCATCGATACGTAATTCATGTGGCTTTACAAATACTAAACTTTGCTTAACCATTGTTGAAATTTTACTTCACGCGTCCAACGTTTTGATTGTTAAAAAACAGATAGTTTACTGAAAATGCGCCAAAGAAAACTTAATTTATAGCAGAAAAAAGATCAGATTATCTCAGATGATGGAGAGGATAATATTGGTAAAACAAGATTCTAGGAAATCAAAGAGAATTATCATTGGCTTAGAGCTTGACATGAAACTCACCCGACATGAATTGTAGTCCCACTTATTCCATGAAATATTTTTTGTTGATAAAGTATCGACTAATTCAGGAAAAATTCCTCTCTAGATTATCGATATTGATTGCTCGTTTCATTTGCTGTTTCAGCGATTGAAACGAGACTCACAGATTTCGCTCACTGATGGACTTTGGGGAATGTCAATTATCAGCCGAGATATTGTCGTCAAGCTGTAACAAATAACACATCCAATCACTCCTATCCTTATTTGAAATTACACAACAATGAAAAGTCCCTATTATTGGTATATCAAGGTTTTCTTTGATTTTACTCATCAGAGAAACTCTGAAAGATAAAGGAGAATCAATGAGAAATGATAAAAGTCAGTGGGGCCTTGATTAATCATTTTTCTGAATAATCTGTACAGTCTGTACAAAAAGAATAGCGTTTCTTTCTTCCACATCAATTTTCTGTTCCATTTTTAATTTCACTCCTTAAGAAGATTCATATTAAAAATTAGTATTAAAATTAAAAAAGCTAAAGCTTTTCAAATGAAAAATTGTATTTATTTAAAAAAGCTAAAGCTTTTCAAATGAAAAATTGTATTTATTTCTGGTGGTAACACGTTAACCATTACAAAAATGTATTTCAGTTTATAATTTTTGACCAATTTGACTATTTTCATTTATTAAATTATCAAATTTTATTTCAAGTTAAATAAATCTTATTATCAAATTTTATTTCAAGTTAAATAAATCTTTTCAATTTCTGATTCGAATTTTGGATTTTTTCATTCTTTAATGAATTTATTACTACTCAAAGTCCTAGCTTATGTTCAAGCAGTCACTCTATTTTGATATTTTGTCTGAGGAGGTCGATGCAGCAGATAACTTTTATTTACACGTTTTCATAACAATATCATTTTTTCGCACGAGTCTCATTGATTTTAATCTAGCTAGCCATAAAAACGCTATGCTGAGATTATGTACTGATTGAGCAATTAAGCAATTATGTTAAATACTATTAATTTGATTGAATTGATTAGATATTATTGCAAGGAAATTCAGATAAATCCGAAGCACAATTCATTTGGATGATTTGTTAATTGATTATGTCAATTCTTTTCTTATTTCACTGTTCATTAATTGTACAATTTATCAGCATTCATTCAAAATATTTAAACGATTAAAGTTGCGGCTGATGAGTAAGTATTTGAATGAATGGTATTACATTATTTTAAACCGGTCACTGAAATCATTATCTTACCAGGCCAACCCAAATTCGGAGTGAAAACATGTTTGACTACTCGCAGTTCACTCTGTATGCAGTTATGAAAGGCAATAAGCCCGACTTTCATCAATCAATGTCTCTTGACAAATCTCGTGAGCTGTATAAACCTCTCCTCGAAAAAATGAAGAAAAGCTACGATCCTGATTTAATTAGACAACTAAACAATTGATTGTTGCTGTCCAAAACTTTACTGCTTTTGCCTCTTCAGATGAGTTTGCTAGAATCCCAGCTCGAATAAGCGACAAAGCTCGCTTACGCACAGTTACCTATTACTAGACTTGTGACTCTTTCTGTAATCTTTTAAATACTTCGAAGGTTTCAATACTGAACCTTCATGGACCAAATTATCATCTAATAGAGAATCGGTTGATTCATCGATTGCCTCGTTGATTGCTGCTCTTCGAGAAGCTGCACCAGGTCAGAAAGAATGTGATATTGCTATTGAAAAATTACGTCGAAATATAAGGGAACTTGACTCTTCAGGAATGAACTTAATGAACCAAACTTTATCCACTCGAGCTGATCATTCGTTCAAAACTTATCGAGAAATTATGCATTCAACTATAAATGAAATCGCTGATAAAATTGACCCTCTTCGAGTGACTGGTAAATGCGAAGCTGAAAGCTTAGGCCACCGAGTGACTGCATTTTCAGCATATTTTGTTCCATTAATCGATAATACTATTGGAGCTGTTTCGGTAACTAATGGAAGAGTTCAATCAAATCTATTGAGTCAAACCAAAACAGTTTGTGAATGTGGACTACAAATGCTCTTTGCAGTTAAAGAGGCCGGTGGAAATGCTAAGAATACCAGTTCGCATGCTGATATTGACGAGGCTGGAGAGTGTTTGAAAGAAGCTATAAATGATTTGTCGCACACGCTACAAACAACTAGTCCAGGTGCAGCTCATGTTCCTGTTGTAGTTGACTCGATTAGCAAATCAATTGGACGAATGGATGAAAGGTATTCGTTCAGTGGTGATCTCATTGACCCTAGTTTAAGTTTCGTTGATTATCAAACACGAATGGTTAACATATTGAGAGAAATCAATCGAATTGCTCAAGAAATTGTAAGTTATATTCAACTAAACTACTTTATTTTGTTTGTTTCTTGCTGAAAAGACGCTTTTAACACTTTTATGCACAAATTGCAACAAACTGACACAAAATTGACGCAAAAAACGGATTAAACGGGCTTTCTTTTCTATTTCAACTTTGTTAGTTTGTAGAAGTATGAAAACTGTGTCCATTTGGCCGATTAAAAAGTTTCTCTGCCCAACAGTTCTCGAGAAAATCGAGGTCAAAGTCGAAACTTCGTTAGCCTTTTGTACCATAATGACAGCAGATTTTTTCATAAAACTTATTGTCATGATCTAATTTTTGATTACCAACTTGAAACTGAACTCATTTTGCGAAAAAAACTTTTCTATTTTCTGTAAAACAGATCACTTCGATTTTTAGTTAAACCGACTTATTCCTGTGGCCGCAAGAGTTAGCGAGCTTAAACTCATTATTGGTACATAAAACTTGCTGTTACACATCATGGGTTGGTTATTTTTTTCATTTCACCAACGATTCTCTTGATTTTGGCCATCGGCCTGAAAATTTCGAACCAAAATATTTCGAGAATGACATCACCTAAAACCACCATTCTTCCAGTAAACATTCGATTTCATTACTGGCTGTAATATAATATGATTGAATGCTGAATAAAATCTGATCTGACTCAATTAATAAAGTACATCATTCTACCACTCAAGATTTTGCTATTAATTTTTAAACATAGTCTCAAATCTGTCAACACAAGTTATAAAATGATCTAACCTTTTTTGCAGGATATTCAATAATTTCATACTTACACATGTTATAGCTCATGATAAAATCTAATGTTTGATGTGAGAATAATGATTTTAGGTGATGCTATTCTCGAAATATCGAAGCTCAAACTTTTTAGGTAAATGGCCAAAAACAAGAGAACTGTCATTAAATTGGAAAAAGTATTTGATTGTTGATGTGTGGCATCAATTTTTATCCAAGAATAATAAGTTTCAGCTATCTAACTCTTCAGGTCACAGAAATAGGTCAGTTTAATTGAAAATCGAACTTATCTATTTGTTCAGAAATAGAAAATTTTATTTCGCAAAATAAGTTCGTTTTCTAGGAGGCAATCAAAAGTTACATGAGAGAAATACTTTTCATGAAAAAACCTACTTCCATAACCGTACAAAAAGCGATCGAAGTTTCAAATTTGACCTCGATTTTCTCGAAAACTGTTTATTGCACGACTTATTTAATAGTACCAATGGACACAGCATTCATGTCCCTACAAATCCCATTAAGTCTAAACTCTCAACTCAAATGTTCGAGCCTTTGGCATCACTCTTTGCATTTCATTTACAAGTTTAACCAGAAAATTGGTTTATTTACCAAGAAATGGGTTGAGATGTGTTTTGTTTGTTTAATAAGTTGTTTCTCGTATATTTACAAGCCAAAAATCATGACCAAAATGCGCTAATGGAAAGTTTTTTGATTCAATTGAATTGATAATTAATAAAGAGTTAAATGGGTAGAAGAATGATGGTTCTAGATGCTAACATTTCGAAATATTGAGGTTCAAAGTTTTAAGGCCAATGGCCAAAATCAAGAGAAATGTTGATTGATTAAAAAGAGTTTTTAGTCTATGATGTGTACCAACAATTTTCAGTGATAAATAATCAGTTTCAGATTGCTAATTCTTACGGTCATAGAATGCGATCGGTTTAACTGAAAATCGAATTTATTGATTTGTTCAGAAACAGAAAATTTTATTTTGCAAAATAAGTTCATTTTCTGGTTGATCATCAAAGTTTACTCCAGTAAAATGAAGTTTCATGAAAAAATCTGCTTCCATACTTCTACAAAAATCAATCGAAGTTTCAACTTACAAGTTTGTTAGAAGTTGGTTTTCTCGAAAACTATTGATCAGAGAAATTTTTAAATTGAAAAAATGAACGCAGTTCTTATGTCCCTACAAACTGATAGAGTCTAAATTTGAAATAAATTCATTTTCACGCGTGTTCGCTCTTTTGTGTCGATTTGTGTATAAATGTGATGATTGTGTTTATATGTCTTATTGCTAACAACCGTTATTCGACGTGAAATTGCTTTGAGTTTGTCGATTCATTTCAATTTACACGTTAGTTATGCAAAATTTTTTGACCGTTTATATTGCGACCATTCAATTTATTTTGATCTTTTCACATTTAATTTGTTGATTTCAATATTTTATTTAGGTAAGTTTTCAAAATTGAAGTCACCAGTTACATATATCAAGCTTATTTATTATGTTTTGGTGAAAGTAATATTTTAACTCCTTGGCCCTTCTTAAGAGCATCGAAAGCTGTTTGATAATCCTCCAAGCTAATTACCTGGCTGATCAAAGCTTTGGCATTAACTCTTCCACTGGAGATGAGATCAATAGCAGTTGGGAATCTATTCAGAAAGATAATGGTTAAAGAATTTACTGATTTCTCGAAGATTCACTCTGAAAATTATATTGGAAGTTACTTACGTATTATTGAACCGATTAACACCAATCAGATTTAGTTCCTTCAACGATGCAACAGTTAAATCAACACTAGATAAGCTGGCGCTCAATCCTGGCAACAAAACTTTTCCACCCCTTTGGACTGTCAAAATACATGTATTGATACATGGGCCAAGACCAGTACAGTCTATCGCAACATCAGGCGCTTCACCCATTATTTTCTTGACCTTTTCAGCAATCTCTTCCGATGTTTCCCCGGGAGTGGTTAACAACGTGTAATCTGCTCCTAAAGATTTGGCAATGGACAAGCGCTTTTCATTTAAATCAGTTATGCATATTCTGCCAGCACCGAAAGCCTTGGAAACCATCAAACATAATAAACCAATTGGACCAGCACCAATGATAAAGATTGAATCATTTCCCTCTAACTTGGCTCGTTTTATTGCCCAGACAGTGCAAGCAACTGGTTCAACTAAAGTACCTTCTTCGAGTGTCATGTTTTCTGGTAATCTGTGGAATATTAATTTTATTTAAAGTGATTCCACTTGGGCTGAATTAGTTTTCACATCTCTTGCTCATTGGAAAACATTGCCTCCTATTGTGAAAACTGGTTCAGCACAAGTCGAATTATTGTAATGTCTTGGCTTACTAGTAAAACTTCAAGAGCAAAAGGCTGAGAGGAATGGAAATAGGGATTTCGTACTTATGACACAAAATGGCAGGCCAAACATTGGTTGATCGGAAGAATCCGTATCTATTTGTTCCGCAACTAGATACGTCACCATAGGGACACAAATTACTTGATCCGATTCGACAAAAATTACAAGCCCAACAGGGTTCATGTGGTTCGATACAAACTCTATCACCAGGCTTGACGTTGGTTACTTTGGACCCAACTTTGACAATGGTTCCACTTGCTTCATGACCCATAATTGCGTTCTCCTTGGCTTTGAATGGACCGATTCTACCGCAAACATGTAAATGAAGATCGGTTCCACAAATACCACAAGCAGCTACATCAATCAAAACCTCTAAACAAAGTAAACAAAAATATCGATTTACACTGGTTTGTTGAGATCAATTTAAAGTAAATTAACACTTCACAAAGAGTTAAATCAACTTTGTGTAAATAGTTGTGTGAAATATAACTATTTAAATACATGAGCTAGGAAAAAGTTATTGTTTACGAATTACCTGTTTCGGATGGCTCATCATCTTCTTGGTATTCATCAAGACGTAACTCGCCGGGCTTAACAAAGATTAAAGTTTGCTTAACCATTATTGAGATTGAATGCTGCAACAGAGCGACTCTATCAAATGAACAAGTTCAAGAAAAACTGATTCCATATCATAATTGACACTGGTATTTAAGCATTGTTCAGAGGGATGAGCTCATACAAATAAGACAAAGATAATGTCAAATGTAATTTTAATGAAAATGAGAGCCGTCGAGTAGCTTTTGCTTCGAACTCCCCTCGTTGATACCTGATTGGCCTAGATCGCTACCTTCTAAATTAGAAGCCTGAGTATACAAACTAAGAGATTAGATGCCATAAATGAGCAAACGCGAGCATATGAAACCCCGCGACTTTTTGATACCCATAATTAATGGGAATAATGGCTTGAAGAGTAGGTGCAATTTGTGTAATTTTGTGTAATTTGATGACTTCACTTAACCTTCACATAAATTAGATGGTGTAAATTGTAATTAAAAAAGACTTCATTTTACTGATTGGCTTTTTATTCAGATAATTCACGTATATAACCACAATTTGCACTTAGAAAGATTCTTAGAAAGATTGACTCGATCTTAATCTGTTTTAATTCGAGCTATAAAGTTAAATTTTGAGTCAGTTTATGTGAGCAGATATAAGTATTTTGGCATTTTAATAATCATAATGAATAATGCTATGTACAATAGATGCTATGCTAAGATGTACTCATAGAGTAATTAAGAAATGTTGAATAAGTCTTTAAATGAATAGTTGGCACTTGGCCTTAAAACTTTGAGCCTCGATATTGATAACTCGAGATTCTTTTACCAATTATATTCGCGTCTGTAAGTGCATTTTCTGGTTGACCATCAAAAGTTACACATAAAATGACGTTTGACGAAAAGAACTGGTCCCATGACTGTGAAAAAGGTGATCGAAACTTCAACTTTGTACTTGATTCTCTCGAAAACTGTCGATCGGGGGTATTTTTTATATTATTTTAATATTAATATTTAAATATTGAGTGATTCAAGAAAATTTGAAAATAGCGCTTTAATCTAAGAATGGTATCTCTAATGCAAACAGGCAACCGGTATCAACAACTATTGTATCACAGAGTCTCATGTCTTAATGTAATCCGGTCAATTTGTTTTATTTATTCCAACTTTTCTGAAAATTTTCATATCAATGTTTAATTAATATCTCAACTTTAGGCCAAAATATTTATACTAAACACATGCAAAATGAAAGCTGTTGTCCAAAGAGTCGTTAAGGCTTCAGTTTCAGGTAAATAAGAAACTGTTTATTTCAAACGCTAACAACAACAAATAATGCAACCACTTTGTTTCTTTAATTTTACAGTAAATAATGAAATTATATCTGAAATTGGTAGAGGAATATGTGTTCTTGTCGGTTTATCAAAAGATGACACTGTGACTGATGTTGATTACATGTAAGTTTATTTTAATTTATCTGCTCTTTTATACCAATTCAAAAGGTAATTCAATTTTTTTCTGTTCAATAGAGTTCGTAAATTGATAAATATGAGGATATTTGATGGCGAAGATGGTAAAAGATGGGATCTCAGTGTCAAAGATAAAAAATATGAAATTCTTTGTTGTTCTCAGGTATTCTGATACAATTCTTAATTCAGAAAACTGTGTTAATAATTCCATGTTTAAATCTTGCCTACTCGCAGTTCACTCTGTATGCAGTTCTGAAAGGCAATAAGCCTGACTTTCATCAATCAATGTCTCCCGACAAATCTCGTGAGTTGTATCAACTTTTCCTCGAAAAATTGAAGAAAAGCTACGATCCTGATTTGATCAAAGGTACAGTTGAGTTTTTTTCTTGCTTACCAACTTACTGCTAGAATTTATCATGAATATCTATCTTTTTGTTCTAGAGGGACGATTCCAGACAGCTTGTCATGTCAATATTGTTAATGATGGTCCAGTCACAATTTGCTTGGAGTCACCTAGTTCAAAAAAATCCGAAGTCACTGAATAAGTTGCTTTAAAATCACTCTTCTCAATGGAATCAAACTATAAAATGCAATTTGACAGGTTTTTACCCAAGAACAATTTAACCAGGAAAAGCTCATACTTTATGCAACATGTTTTTTCAATAGCATGTAAAGTAATGAGTTTTTTTCGTCTTGATAAGATTATATTCTGATGTGAAATGAAACATTGTTATGAGATACTGTAAAAGTGGGATTAAACAATTGACTTTGACTCTTTCATTGGCACTTTCATCATTTCTATTCTTTCGTGATCCACTTTTGATTACATTTGACTATCAAACGATTGATGATTATTTTATATTGCTGTTACTGCATTTTTCAATAAATTTTCCGCCACTTTCTAAATCTTCAATGAACATATTTCGTTTCAAATGTACAAGTCAAATCAACAGACAAAACTCTGAACTTTTTTATTGCGGTTCAACTAAAATGCAGTTGCAAACTCTATTCACACCCTTGTTAATCATCTACTAAATCACAATCACCAACCACAGTACCTACAAGTGTCTAGTTCATTCATGAATTCACATGTGAATTTTCATTGTTATCTGTTGAAAGTGCCAAGAAAAAGTGAAAATGAAGTTATTCGAATTCATAAAAGTCCATAAATACAAAATATTCAAATCAATGTTAACGTACATAACCTTTGCTGGTTTGGGTGGAACCAATACTTTAGTTGGAAGCTCATTACTCGACCTTCAAATTCGTGTTCAACGATCTTTTGATGCTACTTCAAAGCTTGTTCAGGCCCGTTCCGTTGGATATATCATTGGAGCTTCTGCGTGTGAGTTAATTTATTTAAATGATGAAAATGAAACAATTTGATACAAACTCGGAAGACAATAAAGTGGTTAATTGTAACACAAACCTTATCGGTTGATGATTATCTTGATGCTCTTGATGATTTATGAAAGAAGAAAACAATATTAATCAAGTTTCTATTGAGCAATCACTGTTATAATCTTGATATCAAACAGTTCAGTGCTAAATTGAAGCACCCAGAATTGATCGATTGATAAATCATGCTATGTCTCGATTGAGAACTGTTTAAGTTCAAAGTGTTAACCAATTGTATAACTTAAGTTTTGACTTCCCTTGAAAGGTGGCCTTCTCGGTGAACGTATCAATGACTACTTGGCTCTTTCAGTGGCTGATTTGGTTGCTGGCCTTTTCCTCATCATTGCACCTTGGTTTGCCATACTTGAAGTCATCATTTTTTGTATCGTAGTCTCTGGTTTTGCTCAAGGAATTTTGGACATTTGTAAGAGCGAAAAGCTTTCTTTCACCTTTTTTGAATAACTTTATACTATTGATTTGAGTATAATTTTTTTATGCTGACAGATTGTAATGTGATAATATTGAGGATTTGGGGTGCAAAAGGAATCAATTGGCTTCAAGTTTTACACATGTGTTATGGTGTTGGGGCTTTAATTACACCGATTTTCACCAGACCCTTTCTCCTTCCGAATACCGGACAGTTGAGGGATTTAGAGTCAACAAACGCAACTTTCATTGGCAATGATACCGTTTCAGATGACAACAAATACATTGGTGGCTACCCACCAGATCAGGTTAAAGTTCAATATTCATTTCTAATTTTAGGCGGTATATTGGTCCTCGTTTCAGTTCCAGTCTTTTTCTGTTATCTCTATGAAAGAAATCTGAAAGCTGGAAAAGATGAAGATGAAGACAAAGAAGTTGATGGAAATGCCGTTAAAACAAGCAAAATTAAAAAGGTTATTGCTATCGTTATGGTTGCAATCCTGGCAAACTTAACTTTTGGTTCAGAAGCAGCAATCGGTAAGTTTATTTCAATGAAATGTGATTTGTTTAATATTTGAAATTTAACTGACCTGATCTGTGTTTCCCGTCTATTTCCAGGCAACTTATGTACTGCATTTGCTGTCAAGGCTGATCTTAAAATGGAAAAGCAAATTGCAGTTCTTTTGGCTACAGTCTATTGGTCCACCTTTTCATTTTACCGTCTAATTTTCATTCCACTTACCTTGTTAATTAAAGAGAGTCGACTTTTTCATTTCAATTTACTTATAATACTTGGAGGTGTTGTCGCTCTGGTACCGAATGCTGCCTCCAAAGCCATTTATGCATGGATTGCCTTTGTTATGCTTGGAATTGGTTATTCACCCGTTTTTTCAATATCTTTTGCTTCATTGGAAAAATATTTTCACATGTCAAACTCAATTACATCTTTTATTCTGGTTTGTGGTACTTTAGGTGAAACGATTCACACTGCCATTTTATCTGTCTACATTGACAGACATCCTATCATTTTTGTCTACTACATAGGTTCCATGTCGTTGGTTTATGTAGCAATTAGTGCCATATTACCTTACTATTTGCGGAAAATTGCTACAAAACGAGTTGAAAATTCAATCAGAAAAAAAGAAGATGTAGAAATGGAAAAATATTGATTGTGAAAAAGAAACTGAGTTTATTTGATTGATTTGAGCTTAAATCAAGCAATATAATTATCAACAAACTTGACTTAAGTCCATAAGTCAATCATTTCTTTAAATTGATTGCCTTTTCTAGCCACTTTTTGTAAATGTACTTATAAAAGATCCCAATCGATGACAAATGGTTCTCCGTCCAGATTAAATAGGTTTATTTTGTAGCGACCTTCCATGTCCCTGTTTAAAAATAAAACATTAGATTTGTAATCTTGACAAAGGCTCAGTTTACTTACTTGTCAACAAATTGAACCCTAAACCTTTTATGGAGAACCAAATCACTGAAATCATTCCTGTTGCGAGAAGATATTGGAAAGCATAATGTATTAGGAAGAATAGCATGAAATATAAACATCAGTTAAAAATTTGTGCTGATTTTTAGATTCTTACATGACTTGGTCAGTAATAGATATTCCTTGGGGAACATCGACAGCACAGTGAACAGCGGCTGGAGGTAATGTTGCGAATTTTGGTTTCAATGAAAGGACTTCTCTTCTATCAACCATCAACTCAACTCCTGTGTCGATATTCATGATATGGAGTTCATCCTCATCGTAGCTCATGTCTATCACTCTTCCACGGAAGAAGACAGAATCACTTCTAGCAGCAACAAGACTTCCAATCGCTGGATAAATTAAGAAATTTTCCTTGTTTTCTGCTCTTCGGTAGAAGTCAGTCATTTCTTTGGTTAAGTTGAGGTAATTTTCCAATGTTGGATCGATGAAGTCATAATGAGCACCTACTCTCGACTCAAAATTCTGTTCAAGAAATATGTCCTCAGTAGGTTTAACATAAAGGGAATATGGGCTTAAACATTCAGTTACAATCGCTTTCAAGCTCATGCCTACTTTGACGAGCTCTGATTGAAAAGTGTCGATAAGCACTTCTTCAGTGTCCAAGGAATCCACTGAAAATAAAAATGAACAAAATAATGAACAATTAGCTAATTTTAATAATACTTGAATTGAATTTCAGATAACTTACTTTGATCATTTTTCAAGTGTTTATAAACACAGCTTTCACCATATTTGCAATAACCGCTCAAAAAATGTTGACAAACTTTATCCAAATCTCCACTCTTGTATCCTAAAATTGCTGTTCCAGTATCCGAAGGGTCAAATGCATAAGTATTTGTCAAAGCCCTATGGTCTTCTTTCATTGGATCCCAATCATCAGGAATCTCTTCCTCGATTGCACTCATTGATGATGAACGTTTAACCTAAAAAAATAAAAAATGAAAATAGTAACTTGTGATAGACTTTGATTAAACCGAAGGTAGTGCAATAACTTATTAAACTAGTAGTTTTATTTTAAAATTAGCTTTTATTTGTATAAGTTTGGCAAACTAGGGTTGAAATTAAGGATCAGAGCATGGTTAATATAATTTTAAATAGTTTAAATTATTAAAATTATTAAGTTTACAATAGATGGATCAATTTTTGGCTATTTTTTACAGATAAAAGTATTAAGCATTATTAAAGGTCGACTAATTCAAAGTATATCGTTAAAATGCAAATCTAATGAAACATGCTAAATCATGCTGACCATAGTTTGAAAGGAGTGATAGACCATAGATTTGTAGTTGCATGCTCAACAAATCAAAATACTCACTGAGGTAAAGTCAATTGAATTTGATTTGACTTGTGAGCAAGTTGCAACAGGAAATTTATTCGAATGTATTTCTGGAGTTTCTTCGATCGATTGAGCATCAGCTTCTAATACCCAATCCATTGAGTCGGTAAGGGCATAAGAAGCTTTTACTAAGGCAGCGTTAACTAAAATATCTTTACCCTGACCTAAAGCTGAATCACTAAACCATAAAAAAACTGAAAGAGGTTCTTCATAATTATTTTTACTGGGCCGTTCTGTAACATAGACTGTGACCATTTGTTCAATCTTTATTCCGGTCAAATCTTCAAAGTATCTTAAACATTCAATAGACCATCCTTCAGATGGAGGGTAAATATGCGACAACCGGCAACGGACAGCATAGGCTGGAATGTTGATTAAGTCGATAGGAAGAGGCTTTAAATCGCCAATAACTATGACTTCTTCTGTACCATAATCGATATATTTAACTAAAATTTTTCGAGATCTAATATCTTCTGGAGCTTCTGAATCTTCTTCTAAATCTTCTTCTGAATGTATCAAATCAATAACCCTAACTCGACACCATTCATTATCAGTTGGATAAATGGCAGCCCAACATGAATCAATGAGCAAATTTGGATCATCAGGCAAATCAAAATCATCAGATTGAATGATAGCAAAATGATTGGACAATTGTTCTTGAATATCATCCAATTGATTAGAGTCATCATTAGATAGATGAATGTAAAATTCACTTGGATCGACTAGAGCTGAAACCACGCAGAAATGATATTCAGCCAGTGGGAGTGAAGGAGGTGGAATTGAATAAAGATGACAGCCATTTTCAAGAATAGTAATAAGATGAGAAATCGGACAATATTCTGGTTGATCAAATTCATCGCACTCTTCTTCGTACAATTCCTCTTCTTCTCCTTCTTCTCCTTCAGCCTCTTCTTCCTCTTCTTCCACTTCCCCTTCTCCTTCTTCATTCGTCTCCAAATATTCTTGAACAACTTTATCATCATGATCACTGTATTCATTTTCATCAGCATTTATATAATTTTCATTGGTATAATTATTGGAATCGATAATATTTGTCAACTCTTCACATTCACCAGACTTCACTTTGTTTAAATTACTTTGAATAGTTACATCTTTATTGACGATGCTGCCTTCTAATTCAACAGGATAGAAGTCTTGATCTTGATCATCAACAAAATTATCATTTTCAGCATCGCGATCAACACCAATTTTATCAACCCAATTATCATTAACAACATGATTAATACTCGATGCACTTACTTTTCTTGGGTCTTCATCGGTTTCTTCCTGTTCGTAAGCTTCATTCAACTTTTCTTCAATTGATAGGTTTTCGGTCAATGAGTAAAATGATCCATCAGAAAGCGAATTGGATTTGTTCAGATTTAGATGTTTCTCAGCGTTTAATTGGAGCATCTTTTCGGCAATGGCAATGCAAGCTTCTTTCGTTTCAAAATCACCAATAAGTGGATGAATACAGATGCATCCTGGAACACCAGTAATATCACAAAGCTTGTGCTGACTTAAACCGTACCAATGAGAATGGAAAGGAATACGAAGCTCACTTAACGAATAGCTAACAGGCACACAGGATAATCTCCAAATCCCAGAGACATCATACAAAATGGCAAACTTAATCTGCCCTTCAATATTTAACTCTCTTTCAATGTTAATCAAATGCTCGATCCATGGCATTTCTCCAGATTGGCTTAAATCAATTATGGCTCCCGAAGAATGTACCTTTTTACAGTTTAGTAAAGCTTCTTCGACAAAAGTCTTTGCTGGTAACCAAATATTGCCATAGTACTTCGTTATATCTTCAAATTCGCTACCAACAAGAATGATGGCTTGTATGAACCTTAGGAAAAAAGAAACGGTAAAGTATCGATCAATTATTGACTTTAAAGGCACAACTAAATAACAGGAAAAACTATTAAATCGCTTACCTTTCAGCGAGATCATTTTCGGTATCATCTAATGAATTTGTTGATCTTAAGCGGTTGATACGAGACGTCAAATCGGTACCAATCTTAAAGTTAGGTTCTCCTTCACAAATGGCAGTACGATTGGCCATGGCGTCAATTTCTTGGACAAAATTTTCATAAATCACATCAAAAAGGGCTTCAACTTCATCCTTAAAACACGGTTCGGTTAGACCAAGAATCTTTGCAATGACATCCCTTCCATAATGATGATAAACAAGTCCAGCACAGCTTAATTTTATTTTGAACGGCTTACTTGGGTCCAATGATTTTAAAGTTAAATCAAGATGATGGTGGTCATAGCGTTGCTTATTATGGTCATAAACTGATCCAACACCAATCACAAAATCACTTTTACCAATAATAGCAGAATCTTGTGTCCTTATTATATTTGGTTTAACATGAAGCAGCTTTTTAATCAAATAACAGGCAAAAACTTGGTCACAATGAAAATCACCATCGTAGGTACAAACTGTATGAGCCATTTTTGAAAAAAAACTCGAAAAACTGAAATAAACAACAAAATAAAAGAAGAGCACAAATTATAAACTTAACGCAAAAACAGTAAAAAGATGAGTGAGGAAGGCAAAAATAAAGCAAACATAAAATTTGGATAAGTCATTTTAACCAATGACCAGGAAGATAAACTTGATAAGTTAAGCTATTGAGCATTGATGTGTATTTAATAACAAAGAAAATAAATGCTAGGAATTGGTTCAGATAATGATAAAAATTATTTGTTTGGCTGTGATACTCTTGAGTGAAGGTCAATTGTTTTGTGGGAAAAGGATGGCAGAAGTAGATTAAATGAAATGCTAGTCTATTTTAAGTATTGTCAACTTTCCAAGTAATTTAACCAAGTTTCATTTTTTTCAATACATGTATCAGTCACTTAAGGAGAATTGACTCACATTTCCTACTCCATTGAAATTTTTAAAAAATTATCACATTAATGCTTATTTATTTAACTGATACATTGACCAACAAAACTTGATATAATCAATAATTAAGTCCTAGATGTATCGAAATCGCGGAAAAACGCTTTTTTCAAATGTATAGCAAAAGTAAAAGGTGTTACTATAGTCTTAGAGTGAGAGTAAAGAGATGGCATCAAAATAATGCATCGATACGGTAATGTGATTTAAGAAGCTCCTTTGGTAAAACAACTCATAATAACACTGTACATTAACAGTAAATGGTAAACAAATTAAATTACATACCTTTTAATTGGGATAAAGATGACAAAAGTTTATTCCTTTACTCTGAGTATAACAGATTTATGGTTGGTTCAAAGATATGAAATTTAGCGAAAAAATTGGTTTGGATGCATTTGGACACTTAAATAAACAGTTGTGAAAATTTATCTTAAGATACTAATCCGAGAATAGTTTTTTCAAAATTTGACTAACAATTGTAAGAATTGACCGGGGACTTTTGTGAAATTTAATATTGACGATCATCAATATTTAGTAAAAGAACATTTTATTGCGATTTTAATACTTCCATCTCGATTAGAAAAAGATGAGTGATTCTGATCGAATTTTTGTTCTGATGTTTTTAAATGAAAGGATTAAAAGTGATGGCCTTTCACTTGTTGTTCATGATCATTAATATTAAATTTTGTAAAAGTCCCTAAAAATGGACTCGATTTAACAATCAAAACCCATATTGTATGACCAACGCGAATCAAATGGATTTAAGGTTAAACAATTAAAGCAGACAAATTATTTAGATTATATTCTGATTTAGATTTTGTTGTTCCTTTTATTGGACATTGATTTGTGAAGATACAATTTTAATAAGATTTTTAACAATAATTATAGATTTCTACTTATTAAAAGTAAAATATAAAGATTTTATGACAAAATTCACGCTTTCTTTCGTTTTAGATGAATAATAAGAGCCAACAATAAGTTCCAACAGAAATAAGAGCGATATTTATTTACTTTCATGCTCATAATAAAGAAACTTGACCGAAATTCGAACATTCTGTCCCGATAGATTATTGCCTGAAAGTCTTACCCTCACACTTGACTCGACTGGTCCACGAAATTGTATAAAGAAGGAAATTTCTTCATGAAAGAAATGCCGAGTATTTTGTGCCATTTCATTCAATTGAATAGCGCGACAAGCTAATTATTTATATACATTTAAGGTAAATTGATATTTCATCCACATACTGATCTAGTAGATTCACTTATAGCAATATATTTCTTTGATCAACATTGAATGAAATAAATTTTTAAAATTAAAAATTTGAATATTCTACCTAAAATAATATTCACAAAATTCAATAAAATTAAAATTGAATCCACTTGCATCGTTAATTCAATGGAGTAATACCAAAAAATAATATGTTTTCAATCGACTATTTATGGACTAGATAAAGTTGATTCGTTAAGCATCTTAATTCCGCACTGTATGAGACTCGCTACTGTAAGTTCAATCAAGGTGATTATAATCGTTGAAAATCAGGTTAAGGTAATATGAAAAATGAATTTTTTTATCATTAGTCTATTAACTACATGTCAATTTAAATGTTGCAAATAGTGAATACTTTCGGAACAATCAATGATTTCTTAACACCACAAGCAGTGCACATAAAATCATTTTGTATTAGGTATTTTTGAATTGCTTAATATTTTGTACTTTTTAGTATAAATACAAATAAACTATTTTTAATTTTTACAACGATCTATAAATCCAATGAATTATCCATTGAATTTCCTTTTATTAAAAACTACCCTCTCAACTCTGATTGGAATGGGAAAAAGAAAAATTAAATACAATTATTAAGGAGCAAAATAACTTAGGAAATGTAAGATTTGCATTTGCAACCATTAGTCTACTAACTGACTTTGCAACTCTTAAATTGGACAAGGAAAATAGTGTTTATCGATGATTTTGGAACAGGACCCAACACTTTTTCATTTCTCTTTTGATACCATTTTTCAACAGTTTTGTAAGAAAGTTTTGCGTTGTATTGGTAACATTATGTATATCAGCTTCATTAATTATTAACATACGAAAAAAACGATAATGAACGCAATTTGTTTTTTCATCAACTAATGGTTCTTTTGTAGATTTTTAAATTAAAACTCCACAACTTTGTTGTTGTCAAGTTTGAGATAACCATAACGTAAAGACCTTAATGTTTCTTATTTACATCTCGATAAGCTACTCTTCGATAAACAAGAGATGCCCATAAATGGCGTTTGTAGTACCATGCAAGTCCAAATAAGCACGTTGAAATAATTGTCCACTGTTAGATGAAACAGAAAGAAACATAAATTAGATAATGAAATAGAGATACCGAGAAGACTGATGAAAAAATTTTAAGAAAAAATCATACCTTGAAGAGGTATTTCTTCCATGATTCTAATTCAGGGGTAGCACAGTATGCCAAGAAGTGAGTAACATCTTTAGCCATTTGACTGGCTGTTGCTGGTGTTCCATCATCATATTCAATTAATCCATTATACAAAGCTTGGGCCATAGCAATTGCGTTACCCTGCATGTACAAATTAAAGTGTTGATTCTCTCCTAGCTCAACTCCTGCAGGTGGATCAGCATAACCTCGAAGTAAACTGAAAACATAATCTTCATCACCCTCTCTTCCTACAGTAATATTCGAAAGATCTGGTGGATAGGCTCCTCCATTAGCGACTCGAGCAGCTTCTTCATTGGGATAAGGACTTGGTATGTAATCCGCCAATTTACCAGGTCTTTGAAACATTTTACCATTGGCATCAGGTCCATCTGTAATCGTGGCCTAATGAAAAATTATTGACAAGATTTAGAACTAGATCACATAATCTTAGTGAAATGAATTACCTCAGCAGCTTCAGCTTTAGCTTCATCTTCCGTCATGAAAAGATCAACGAACTGTCGGTATGCTACAAATCTGTGTGAATTAATGAAAACAAAATTGAGATTAAAATTTGCTAATTATTCAATAATAAACTATTTCATGACTCACCTAAGACTGTGACAAGCGGCGCACACTTGCTTATAGACCTGCCATCCTCGACGTAAGCTATAAAGAAATTAAGCATTAGAATATTGATTTTTGAAGTAACGAAAAATTAATTCACCTGGCAGCATCATAAAGTCCAATTGCCTTATCCAATTCAAGCTTCCGAAATGGAAGAGCAGCCAATAGTTCAGGCTCATGACTGCAATAAAAGATTCAAATAAAAAGATAGATAAATATTTAAGACTAAAATAAACCATCAAAATTAAGAGAGGTCAAAAAGTAACATAAAAATGGCATTTAGCATGACAACACAAATTTTCCACTATTCTTACCGGTGACCCTTATGTGGCCATGGGTATTTCGGTGGATGCAAATTTAAATCAATAGCTTTGACAGATTCATTGAGGGAGTAAGCTAATCCTGCAGCAGCTGTGGTTAAGAAACAGCCAGTGGTTAATAACTGTTGATAGAATAAGATCAAACAAAAAGAATAGAGATAACATAAGTTAAGCAAAGTATTTGTTGGAAATGAATATTGCTGATGGGTCTCATAAGATACTCACAATTTTCTTTCCTTGTGACATTTCACGGAAGCTTGAACTAGTATTAGATAAGTAAACCTTGATAATCAAAATAAAAGTGAAATTCGTGTTAAAAAATATTATTTAAATTGAAACAATCAAAGTAAGGACATAAAAGGTCACAGATAGTAACTGTTTGCATCATATTCATTGAATGAGTGCAATGAGAAATAAGTCAACAAACTGAGGATCAAAACAATCAATACTAACCTTTGGATGGCTATATCCTTTGGCGAAATTACTAAATACAGTCCTTCCGAATTGGCCTAATACAGGAGCCATAATTAAATAGATTCAAAGAATTAAAATTAATGCTCTAAACAAACTAGATCCACCAACATCAATTAAGACAGAATACTCAGGACTAAAGAGCATGCGGAATGGGTACTAAATGGGATCTGATCCCAAGGCTATTCCAAATTCCGCTAAAATCAAATTTCAGCGTTTTGTCAATTTTCTTACTAAATACCGAATTAACTGATTAAATTGACAATCTTAATGATTTAATATCAGTTAAATTTAAATTAATCTTTTGTACCGATGGCATAATTAGATGTCTAGGTCAATCACAAGCAATGAAGTGAGTATACTCTGAGTTTAAGAATTACTGTTTGGAATATGATACGCTTACTAATCTTCCATGTTGGTCTTTCTCAATGTTTTGTAACAAGCTGTTAATGAAATGAATCAAATGATTTGCAACCAATACGGACGAATCAATCAACTGTGAATTACTCAATATCAATATTGTTTTACTAGCGTTCTGAGCACATAACCCACAATGTATTCAATATTTATCTTGATTTTAACAGTCTTTTGTGTCCAATTTATTAGTATTAAAGCATCAGGTAAGATTAAAAAGTTAATTATTTTAAAATAACCGTTGATTAATCAATCGATAATCTTTTAGATACAACTCCATCTTTAGTTGAAAACAAGACAACGACTGGTGATGATTTGAATTATGATGATTTGGACATTGACCAACAGTCAGCCAATTTACGATCCGAACCGGCAGCGAAATCAGAAACGAGACCCAGAGCTAGGCAATTCAAGAAATTGTTAGTTAAAATTAAAGAGATGCTTGAAGCTATAATTGAATTAGTAAGTTCACAATCAAGAGACTCTAGACTTAACTCAGTTATGAAGCAAAGAGTCAAATTGTTGCAGCGAATCGTAAACCCAAATCAACAACCTCAACTGGTTAACCAGAATAACGTTTCAACTGTAAATGTAGCAACAACAACAATTTAAATTTCCTTACAATCTAGTCTCATGAAAATCGACTAATTATTTGATCCATTATCTTGATTTATACTGTTTAATTAAAGTTTACTTGTAATTAATTTGCACTAATAATGTTCTTATTTCATGCTCAATTTGCTCAGCCAAATCAACGTATTCAATCTCTTGATTAAACGTAACTATCATTTTATAAGAGAATAAAATTAATCAATACTTTTTAATTGTCGATTTTGAATCTTTTTTTATTGTCATAAATCGTAAAGGTACAAAAGCTTTTGATATTTGATTCTCAAGTGAAAGAATCTTTACTGACAATGAGTTACATAACAAGTTAACCCACTCATTAAAGTCTAATGATTGATTTTTGATTTACAAGAACAGTTAATTTCATTTAAAAATTTCGCCTGATTTCCTTATTGTCTGATTGTGGTTAAAATTTAGCCGTTAAACTTGATCTGCCAATGAAAATGGAGCAATGATACATTGTACTGATATAAATATCTGTAATAAACAAATCTTAGATCGGATATTTTTCTATGCCTGTGTTTACAAACATCATGCAGTACGGATTAACCAGAAAACGAACCATCTGTATATCATATTGTGAATTTGTTGATTAATTTTATTTTTACAATTGGTTTGTACATTTTAGAATGGACGGGGAACCATCAACGTCAAGCAGTAAACGGTTACGTCTATCAAGTATTCCAGGAGACAATGATAGCCGCTCTACTGATGAAGAACCCAGTTGTTTTGAGGAATCAATGCCCATTCGATTAGACGAGCTTACGTGTCCTATTTGTCATAATATTATTGTTGATGCCCATGTTACTGAATGTGGTCATACTTAAGGTCATAAATGCATCACCAAAAACTCGAAACCTCTAAATTTTGTCTTAAATGTGGTTTTATAGTCCATAAGACTTATCCTAATTTTATGATTGAAAGATTTATAAGAGTGACCAAAAAAAGCAGACACTTTATTCAGACTGGCTGATATAAACAGGAACCATACGGCGTGGTATATTCTAATCTCTCGGAGAAAGCACAAAATCTCGACCCTGATGATATGGCGTTTCTTGTGGAATTGCTACAGAAGAGAAAAAAGAAACTAGAGAAATCTTCAAAAGTCGTCAAATTTGAATTATTTAAAGAATTCCTCACAAGAATACAAATTCGTAAGCCAGAGCCATTAGATAAACTTGCTGATGATTTGAAGATTATAAGGGTGGATTTTTCGACACTTAAACAAATTGAAAGCTCTCTGGTTGCTGAAAAAGAGGACCAACCAGTCCATGATAACACCAGTGTTCACCAGAGGAATCATCATCATAATACTAATGTTTGTGGAGTCAAATTTCATCCTACAAGTCGATACCACTTAGCATTCTGTTCAGCTGGTAATACCGTTTATTATTAAGACTTGAGGAATCCAAGCAAACCGGAATTTATTTTCAAAGGACATCATGACACTGTTTCATATGTTAAATTCATGAGTTCTACCGAGCTTGTCTCGTTATCTACTGACAATACTTGTAAATTATGGAGCGTTGGCAGTAACAAAACATTCGAAAGAACATTCAAAGCTCATTCTAATGTGCATAGATTTGTTGGTTTAGCAACAAATGATGAATATATTTGTTGTGGAAGTGAAAACAATGCACTTTATATTTATTACAAAGGATTTTCCAAGCCAGTATTAACCTACTCTTTTGATTTCGATAGGCCAATTTCTCGTACCGGAATCGAGGTAAATTGATTCTAGTCCATATGGTTTCCCCTAATTTATTATTCTCTTGTGTTTTATCGTTTGTCTCTAGTCGCATTGGTCAAAAAAAAATATCACTCAAAATGCAATAACCGCCGTTTGCTGGAAAAAAGACTCAAATGTTATTTTAGCCGGAAACACTGAAGGATCTGTGAAGGTAATTTCCATCAGCTATGTTATCGATTTTCATAATAATCTAGTTTTTTTGTGTTTTACAGGTTTTGGAAGCTATATAATGCTGATTTGATGTTCAAATTATCGAAGATGTACAGATCACAAGAATATCATGTTGAGAAATCACCAAAACTAAAATGAATCAATTTAGTTTTTTACTGTTTTTTATATCAATACAATCAGTTTGGATATTAATATTTTCAATGATTCGAAGATACGCTATCTCTCATGATTGAAGTATGATGTCATCAGAGGACCATTACCTTGTTTTCGTCCATCAATGAAACACTCGAAAGATTAATACCTGTACGCAATTAAGACGTTTGATATTTTTTAAGCAATTGTTACCAAGGAGACTAACGTATGGGGTGTTGAGAAAGTTTATGCAAGGGGAAAAAATCCCTCAACTGCGTGTAAACAGAAAATTAAATTTTTTCCCCCAAAGTTGTGCATAAACTTTCTCAACACCCCATAAACTGGTTGGATCAAAGTTGGTTTTGATTTTAATTTTAATGTTTAATTGAGAGAGATCTTTGAAAATATTGAAATGTGGCTCTTAAAAGAATCTAATCAAATTAATTGTAAAAATGCTAATACATTAAATTTTATACTTGTACTACGTGTTATATTTGGCTATTTTCATTTGTGACGTTGAATTGAAACGCAGTTAGTCTTTTGGCTCGAAAAATTAAAAAATTTTATAGTGCTCGATTCCATTATAATCATCTACATACCAGCATTTACGTAAATCAATTTTTTCAATTGAAAGCTTGAGTAAAGCGCTTCTTTATTTAAATAAATTAGATTTGCATCATAAAATTGGTGGGGGAGGAAATAAACTGTTACCGTGGTGAAGTGTTGAGGGTTTTACTTTAGCTTGATTGCACTGAGGTAACAATGGTTTGTTGGTATACAAGGGATAAAATAGTTTTCAATTGTGCCTTATTAGCAACTGGCTCAGTGACAATATTTGGTGATAAACTAGGTTTCAACCTTCATTTTTGTGAGTGTTCTCAATAAGCAAAAAATTATGTTCAGTGTATTTTGTTTTCCTTGTTACAATAGATGATCTTCAGAATCAAATAAAATAACATTGAATCAACAGCCTATCAATACAGTCAACACCAATTTGTTTTCATCTTAATTTTCCTCTCTCAGCTGATACCTTTGTTTGTTTTTATGATCTTTCCTATCTTCCCTTTCTTTTTTTGACGTAACCCAAATAACTGGAATAACTAAGCCTGTATACATCAGCCTTGTGTTTACATTGTGATAAATGGGTAACGCACAAGGAGCCAGGAGCACTGGTCCTGGTCATACCTTGGATTATGTTTTCAGTTCAGACAGTGGACCATGTCCATTTAAGGTCCCAAAGATCCACAGGACCGTCAGATGTCACGAATACTCTAAATTATCCAAGATGATTGCCTCTGGAGTTGATGTCAATTGTCAAGATCAGGATGGGATGACCCCCTTACATTATGCAGCGGCTCAAGGTGATCTGGTGGCTGTACAATTATTAACCGCTGCTGGTTGTTCCCAAATACCATGTAAATTAAACATCTACCCAATCCATTTAGCTGTTCAAAATGGTAACCAAGAAGTTATTCAAAGGATACTTGATTATGGTGGTAATGTTGACAGTTATGATTCCATGGGAACAACGCCATTAGGATTAGCCATAGAGTTTGATTCACCCCAAGTTGTTTCTTTGTTATTACAACGAAAGGCTTACCTTGACTCGAATTATCTTCTGGAAGCACTTCGTCAAGGTTTACTTGAGATTACTCGAATACTTATCAACTTCAACCCTTCTCTAGTCAATGGTCTTAAACTGGATCGATTCCGTTTCAGTTCAAAATCGAGTGATTGCCTTAAACTTCTCTATTTGATTGGTTATAAATTTGACGACAATTTTGCAACTGTTAACCGATCAGAATTGAGATTCACCTCGTGCCATATTGATTACATTGATCGACAGTATAAAAGTGAAATGATTGCTTTTCACGAATTCCTGGACTGGATGAAAAACCAGGATAAACCAATGAAACTCAAATTGTTAGCGAGAATTGTTTTGATTCGTGCTTGTGGTTCACAAAAAATCAGCGACTTCCTAGACTCTCACCCACCAATACCTCCAACTATACGTGAATTTGTTACGTTGAAATGGTTATTTTGACACACCACCAGTTTAGTGCTTGATCAGTGCAATTCATTGATAGTTTGCTGTTCTCCTGAATCAAAAAAAACAAATTATTTCTATCATAATTTATTAAAGGTAAAAAGTATTACCGTGTAATGCTTTACACATCTGTAAAATAATATAAACATCTAAATGAATACAGATTCCCCATGTAACCTAAAAGGATTATTTTCTGCAAATCTTTGACTTTCTACTGTCATATAAATAAAATTTTGTTGATTGTTTAGGTTGATATAGTTTCTCCAAACACCTTAACAATCCTTTACAAGTGTATAAATTGAACAAAAATCAATTACTTGTTTCTAATAAAACCTGTTAGCATTGAAGCTCGTTGTTTAAACTATTTAATATCATAATTTGCTTTGAATATCAAATATTCCCGATAAAATAATGGAATCGCCACACTAAATCCAAGTATTTGAACAATAGACATTGGCAGATCCAATGAAGTCTCAATCAGTGGATAGACTGGATGCTTCACATCTGTAAGAACACAAATTAAATTCACAAAATCATTAGTTTAGGCCAGTAAATGTAATAGTATTGATATTACCATGCAACATCCACTTCATGCAAATTGAAATTTGAAGTACCGCTTGTAATGGAGTCATTACTAGGTAAAGACTGAGTGTAATGAATGAAGTAACCGGAACTGATGATCCCATAATGGCAAAAAGTGAACTAACAAAGACGGTAAAAGTATCAATAAATGCTTTGAAAGCTGAAACTGAATCAGGAACACAAGTTTTCTGCCTTAAAACATCTCGAAAATATGAATTTAACCCAATTGTCGCCAAATGAAATAACATTTTAAAGCTACTCAAAATCATTAGAATAATTCCATACGAGAGTAAATTATTTGAAGCCCAATCTTCCAGAATAGGATCGATATAAGCTGACATCAATTAAAGGGTTGAAAAATTTAATAAATCACAAATAAACAAATTACTTTAATAAGTAAATACGCAATACGCATATAAGATTGAAAATAATGCGATTCTATGGTAAACTGTCTTGGATTTTACTTTAACAATGCAATCTTTTTGATCAACTTCAATTCAAGGTTTTCACATTTCCTTTTGCTATTTGTTTCAATTAAATTCAAGATGAAATTAATTTATCTGATTGCTATTTTTGGTGTTATTTGTTTCAATTTTGTTTCTATCTCATGTTTACCTTTGGCCATGGACCCAACTGACCTGATGTTTGGTAAAATTGACGAAAGCGATTCTCGTCTTATTGGTCGATTCTTGCATCTCATCAATCTGGTCACAGAAATTTACCAACAGCTTTCTGATGCTATTTCACGCGGTGAATTAATGAAAATCATGACTGACTTTATTAAATTTTTTATATCTTTCAAATTTAATTAATTAAAATGGCTCAATTTGTCAGATAAACAGTTATTGTAATCATTTTCAAACTCAACAAAATTTCTTTTTGACACATTACAGTTTTGTTTTTTGCCATCAAGTTGGTGTCAGAACTGGAACCATTTGTGTAATTACTCTGATCGGAGGCTTTTGACAAAATTTTTTAGTTTTTCTCATTGAAGATGTTTTTTGTATCAGGAATTGGAGCCTTTTATTGAACTCTGTGGAAGGATTTACTCAGTATTTGAGATCAGTCATGATCGCTGCAGCCTCTAGTAAATATAAAGCCTTTTCATTTATCTCAGTACCTTAGGATATTAACATGAGCGTTTCTCACATGAAGTAACTAACTATTAATAACTACTAATAACTTAAGAGATGAGATGATAAAAATGTATTGATCCTGATATGAATTGTAATCAAAAGACCGCCAAGAGTTCATCAAGTTCCCTAGAAATGATTATCACTGAACTTGAATTGAACCGAATCAATGATAACATGGCTTAACTATTATATGTTTAAAGGATTATAATGGGATTATGTATCAATTTGTTGATAATCAGAGTTTGAATCAAAATTTGAGTTTTCATTTCAGTTGATTCCAGTGGTGCCATCTAATTTACTAGATAACAAGTTTAATTTTTCATCAATTTTGATCAACATTTATTGCTATCAATATTTGATTAATAAAAATCAATTTTAACAAAGTTAAGTTATATTTACAATATAATGGAAAAAATGATCAACAGGCAAATTTCTGATTATCTGGTAACAAATTTTCCTAATAATCGGGTTAATTGTGGTTTTATGACTTAGAAGTATAATTGGTGATTAGTATTGGGTACGATGAAGGCAAGGCACATTTAAAGCTCATAATTTAAATTAGATTCATGGAAGAGAGTGAAACTGTATTTCAATATTCGGTCATAAGTATTGGTGCTTTAACATAATAAATGGAACCGATTCCCTTTTTACGACCGTAAACCCAATCCATAAGCATGGGTCGTTGAATAAATAAAGCTATTATCATTCCAGAGACAAAAAAGGCAATCATGGCGATAATCATGATTAAGAATCTTTGTATTCTTGTTTCATAGGCAAAATCACCATCACAGGTAAATTGCTCCACATCAATGTCAATAAAGTCTCGTTCATTAAGCTCCTTTGGTTGGTTACACCTAAATTGATGAACAAGAAAGAGAAATGAGTTTACAGGAAAAATTGGAAATGTGAGTTTGATAAGTGAAGGCGATTAACGGTATGCTAATCATTTACAAGGTAAAACATGAACATGGGTTAATTAAATTATCCTTGCCTGACTACATTGCCTTCAATTAATTGTAATTAGTTTTGCAGTCTTACCTAAGACCAGGCTTAAGAAGATGTTGACATTCCCTCAGCCAGCGTAAATCACAGTCACATTGCCATGGATTACCAGTTAAATCAACAGTTTCCAAGGAGCACCACGGTAAAGCCAATTGCGGCAGTTTGGTCAACATGTTATTTCGTAAATTTACTTTTTTCAAACTTGAACAGTTGGGACTTTGATGCATATCGAGAAAGGCATCTGGATCAATACTGATTAACTTCTGATTCTGAGAAATATCAATTTTCTGCAACGAACATAAATACGAGAAAGTGACCTCTTCAATGGTCTTAAGGAATGGCATTCGTTGGATACTTAGATTGGCCAGGTTTGGAAGATGAGGAAATGATCGATGGTTCAATACACGAATCGGGTTTCCATCAATGGATAAAGCTTCCAAACTTGGTATTCCTTGTAAAGCTTCACTTGGCACTGTATCGAAAGAGTTGCCTGAAAGATCAAGCGTTTTCAAAATCATATTGTTGGTCAAAAGGTTGACTGGAATGGATGTTAATTGATTTTCAGATAAATCAAGAACATCAAGGCGCAAATTTTTGTCAAATAAACCAAGCTCGAGATGCCTGAGGAAATTTTTACCAGCATTCAATATTGTCAATGATAACAATGGGGAAAATAGGTCGGTTGGTAGATATGTGAATTTGTTTCCACTTAAATCCAGAACCATTAAATGATCCAAATTTTCAAATAAATTGCTTGGTAAAGATGAGAGGCGATTGTTGCTCAAATTCAGGATACTCAGGTTTGGTAAAGCTGAAAAGGAACGCGGTTCAATGGAATCGATTCGATTGTAAGATACATCAAGGTAACGAAGCTCAGACACATTTTCAAATACTTGAAGTGAAGTAATATTATTGTAATCAAAATCCAGTGTATATGCTGGCCTTGGTAGTTGAACCTTATTGTAATCAGGAACGGTTGTAAGTCCGATGGCAACACAAACTATTTGCCAGCCTTCTGGTCCATCGGCAAGTATATCTGTTGCTGGAAGACATTGACACTTGTCTGGACAGTCTGGGGGACGAGCAGGGTTGATTGGTGATTGATTAGATGTTTTCACAAGGAACAAGAAAAGGAAACAGTTAAAAATGAACATGAGGGTTACTGTGGTTAATAAGCTGGTAAGCACCATGTTGATGATAATTTGATATTTGTATTTTGATTGAGTTGTTGATTAGGGGAGAAACGTCGATGACACAGTTTTTGTTGATATGTGAAAATGGAGAAGAGCTGTGATAGGAAAAAACAACCACAATTAATTGTAGACCAAGAATCCCGATAATTGCCATTGGAGAGACGATGAGATAGAAGCAAAGAGTAAGGAGGAAGAGAGAGCGATAGATGAACATAAACGACTATTTAATATGTATAACAATAGGTGGCGCAAAAGAAAGAGTCTCTTCTTTTTCTT